GTTTTTTGGAAACCGGAATATTGTCTTATCAGCTGATAATGTTTGGTGCTATACAAAAAAATACAGGGTATTCGAAGCCCAAGTTGATGGCTAAATGAAAACAGTTTGACTACTTTCCTTTTTAAATTTTCATGGATGTGGAAAATATATGTATGTTAAATAAACAGGGGCACGTTGTAAGTGCTGATGCAATTCAGTCATACGTTACGCGTTACGTCGCAACGTAACAGACCACTGATCGGGCGCTCAGCACCAATCTTCTCTGTCTCTCTCTTTGTCTCTGGCCTCTCTGCTTCTCTTGTCGAGTAGATAAAACTTACGTGTGGCGCGTGCAATGCAAACAACAAAAACAAGAAATGAAAATTGAACTGCACTCGCTGTGGCTTTATAATGCTTCAGTTGTTGTTATTGTTGTTTTGAGGAATAACAAGTTGTTTTGATCGTCGGTTGCGAGGCGTGTTGAAAACAACAACAGGCCCGGGACCGCAAATGTATTTCATTGCCAGCGATTATGCACTTTGTGTGCAGTTGGTGGCATCGATAACGATAAATTCAGCTGCGTGCACATTTAAAGCCCAAAAAGCTAACGACTTCAATTTAAAAACTTAGTTTTAATTGCCGGGGCCGTCTCCTTGTTGCCTTGGACAACAAACACCTGTCAGAAATTCAACAGCACCGGTTGTTGGGCGTCAAGTTTTTCCCTTAGCTTGCCTTACATTTATCGATTGACCTTGTTGCTGCATAAATTTGACTCAAGTCAGCTTTTGGCTAGCTAAATTTCTGTCGTGTCAAAGAACAGAACCAGGCTCTATAAAACTGATGTATGTATGTATGTGTACACATGCATACATTGAATACACTTCATTTTTATTGGCCTTTGACCAGCCACGTGTGTGTGACTAAGGTTCGATAATAGAATACGCCTATGTATATTATATTTTAGCTAGTCATTAGGAAATTTGTTGAGACATTTGACGGTGACGTCTATTTGTTTAATTGTAATTGAGAAGTCGCTGTAAGTACATGCACACATACATACACAAATATACAAATGTATGTACATACATACAATACGATATTGTATGAAATACACGCCCACAACAAACGAGTAAGCTATGGAAGGGGCTCTCCCGAACACGCATTGCCCCGGTGCTAACCTCAGACGAGGGCTTGTTTTTTTCCTCCAGTCGTTGCTCAATCAGCTGATAGACAAAAAAATATATGAAAAATAAAAAGCTGTAGCCAGACTGAAGACCGTGTAATTGCTTTATTTAATTTCATCACTATGCATGCAAAAATAAAATTACATATTAAAAAAATATTTCTATTTGTGATCTGTCTGCTTCTAATTGATTTGTTTTCGATTAAATAGAACCGAGCCGCAAGTTGCCAAGCGTTTTGTTTCCAACTGCATTTATTGCTGATTAACGGTTAAGTTGTAAGAGCTTTGATCGCACACCGCCCTCTCGCTTGCACTCGTGTTCGCCTGCTCTTTACACGCGATTTCAGCTCCTTTGCTTGCTCTCACGCTCTCACACACACTACATACTTGACATATTTACTTATGCGCATGTATGTATGTGTGCATGCACGTATTTAAGACGGATGAGCCAAAAGGGGAACAACAAGAAATGCAGCCTGTACCCCGCACGCTCCTTTTGCGGTCTGTTGGTTTTGTTCTTGTTTTTGTTTTAGATCATGCGCTTTGGCTTATAAACAGTTATAAAGCACTTCGTGGAGAGAGAGTCGGTGTATAGCAACGTCAACAGTTTGCTGTTGGGCAAATAAACAACAAGAACGACAACTGCAAGGCAACCCCCTCTGCTGGGGGCCACACGCGGTAAACACGTCATTTGTGCGCTTGCTGTTGCTATCGCATTTTGACATTCGGACTGCGCTGCAGCGACGCCGACAGCGACTGCAGCGTTGACGGTGACTGCAGCTGCAGCCCGTTGTTTAACTTTGTCGCTGACAAAACTACTCAAAATAGCAACGGGAAAAGTTTTGCATGTGCTCGAAATGATTGCCTCGCCCCGCCCCTACTGAAATGTAATTACAAAAGCGCTTATCGTTCTCTTTCTGCCGGCATCAGTTCGTTGCACTCGCATATCAACAATAAACTATGACAGGAGTTTTGTAACCACAATCTGCCCCACTTTCCATTAATGAGTTGAATGACACGATAAAAATTACGCATATTACACGGATATCGTTATCGGATCAAATAAGGACCCACGCATAGGCTGGCAGCATTGCGCAAGAAGAAGCTGCCAGACTGTTATTTACTTTTGCCATTTTGCCTGTCGGCACACCTACACGTGTTCAATGACTTGCTGAATCATGCATCGGCCACAACTACAATTCAGTGAATTGCATGTGCGGTGATTCCCACACAAAGTCGCACCCAAAAGTGGATGCGCCAAACCGACAAACTGACACAGTGATAATCAAATTGAACGCGCCTTTTTGCAATGCTCTATTTAATTGGCATTCTCAATTGCAATTTCAGTTGTTCTATACGTTCATCAGCAGCAGCAGCAGCAATTATGGTGGATTTCCGTTTCGACATCAAACCGCTGTTTCCGCAGCCAATTATCAAAGTGGCATCCAATCTATTGCCGCACACCTTTCGAGGTGATCGGCGTCAGTGCTTGTGAGTATTGAAACTGTACGCGGGCTTCTCGTTAACCCAATTTGATCCGTAAGTCAATTAACCGTTACGCTTTCCACACTCACGCACCCAGAGATGCCACCTCAAAGATGTCCGAGATAATTGATCGTCTGGGTCAGCTGTCGGCCACATCGCAAGGCTTGAACAAACCGGTGACCACGGCTCAGCGCCTGCGCATGTCGGAGAACCAGACCATCTATCTGCTGGCTGATCCTGAGGCGGGCAACAAGTGAGCCAGCTCCCATTGACCTCGCCTGTCATCCAGACCAACTAATGACTGTGCACGTTTCTTTGCAGCGGCTCTGTCATTGGCCTGCTTAAGGTCGGCACCAAAGATCTCTATTTGTTCGATGAGAAGGGGCAGACCCGCAAAATGGAGCAGTCGCCCTCAATTTTGGACTTTTACGTACACGAGACACGTCAGCGCGCTGGACTAGGCAAGCGTTTGTTCGAAACCATGTTGAGTGAGGAGCAATGGACACCACTTAAGTGTTCGGTGGATAGGCCATCCGAGAAGCTGCTGGCCTTTCTGGGCAAGCACTATGGCCTAGTGCGCACCATACCCCAGGCCAATAACTTTGTGCTCTACGAGGGCTTCTTTAACGATGCGGCATCCCAGAATGGCTCCAGAAATGGACATGCCGATTCACCACAGCGCGCCAAGAATGGCCTCCACATAACAAACAGGTGAGTTGTTTTTTATTTTATATATTTTTTGTGCTTTCCACGCGATGGAGCGTTGATTGGCGCTGCGCTTCGTGGCGGGGCAGTAGGTTAATTAAGGCGTTGCGCCTTGCAGGAAACATTTCACTTGGCTTAGTTGCCCATTTCTTGGCCAGCACATTTGCATATCGCACGCAAACATCCGACCAGGTCATTTGTTTTCTGTGTGCTGTTTCCAGTGGGCGTGTGCGATAAAATTGATCGCCTGCGGAAAAGCACTTATCGATAAATAAAATTTAAGAAAAATGTATGCAATCTATTAACGGTGGCTTGTTGCTTGCGCTTTCACTTTATATGTTTGCTCCTATCTTTATGTATCATATTCATATCTGATCCGATTTGCTCAACTTGTTATACACTTTGCGGGGCATATTATAAGCAGATATTATCGAAGTGATCATGATCAGGCTGAAGATATAGCTAACCGTCTGTCTGTTTATTGATGAAACATCGTAGATAATACATATATTTATACTATATCATACTTTCCATAAACAAATTTAAATTGATATGAAAAACTCGTTGGTATCCCAAGATATCTTAACATAACTAACTAGGCAATCATCTCATTAACTTCCCTGGGAGCAATCGGTCCTTTTATATAAAAAATGTTAACTCCGATGTTAACATCGGATAACAGAAAATTTAGTTCTATAAAAACCGTTATGTATAGAAATTTCCTAACCCAACTTCACTAAACGTGAATAAAAAGATTAACAGAAAAATGTTAAAATCGGATAACAGAAAATGCAGTTTTATAAAAACCGTTATGTATAGAAACGTATCAGACATCTGCAAGAGTGTTTAATCTTCGGTTTTTACCAGTTAACTCTTCTTTCTTGTTTAATTAATATTAATTAATTAATTTATGTGAGTTTATCACGATTTAAAGCTAACAAGTTGAGCGAACGTATCAAAAAGTCACTAATTATAATTGGAATATATGCCCGTAATATTTAAGTGTAATAAATGTTAACTATTTTCAATCCACATGTTGCGCCTACTAACGATAATCAACAAACAAAACAACTACCAAATACATGAATCAACCAACCAAGTCCTAACACACAACTCTTTGGTGCCACCTATTTGGGCGATGAGGCTAACCATCAAAAGCGCTTCGGTCGACGCGGCAGCAACTCGCAGCAGCAGCACCAACAGCAGCAGCAGCAGTCGCTGCTGCAGCAAATAACACAGATCTCACCAAATGGACGGTATGGTGCACCGCGTCCCACATGCAGCATGGCCGAGGTACTCAAACATTAAATGTTCAAAAGTTCAAGTTCAAGTTCCCAAGTTCCGTGCACTACAGGTTAACAGTTTGAATGCTACTGATAGCCCAAGTGCAGTTTGAGTGTCATTGAGCTCTGTTAGCCCTTGTGTGTGTGTGCGTGTGCGTGCGTGTGTGTTTTGCCTTATTTAACAGCCAGTGTATGTGTGATTAATTGTTTGTCTTTGATTTGTTTATTTCATTTTTTGCATCGTTCCAAAGTAAAATCTCAATATTGGACTTAAAAAAAACTTAATTAAAGCTTGATCTTAGCATGCCTGTAGCTCAGTGTCATATCGTTTAGCTGTTCGAATCATTTGGGGCTCTACGAATTGTTTAGTTAACATTTGTACTTCACACGATTCACAACGAATTCTTGTTTTATTTCTGAACAAAACACAAATTATTTCGCTTTGCGTAATTTTATATAATCCGAACTAGAAAACAAAAGTAATCGTATACAATTTCGACGCGCTATTTCGTGCCAAAGTTTTACGTGCGATTTTGCGAATTTTAGCATTTAATCAATTGAAATATAAATTATGGATCCAAAACGTGGTGGTAATGTGGCAGCAACACGCCAAGGAGCGTCCAAGACGAGCGTTGCCGTAAGTTGAATTAAATTGAAGCAGCAACTGTGTTGCGATTGCGGCCTCTCTGTGTGTGTTAGTGTGTGTGCGTATGTGTGTAGTTCTGTTTTGATTTGCAGTCACGTCACGGGGTGGTGCCGCCTGCCAACATGGCCCGCAAATACGGCAGCGAGGTCAGCCTGACGCCCAGCCAGGCCAAGCAGGGTGTGGAAAATGTAAGATGATCAGCTGGCGCGTCCATTCCAATAAAGCATCCTCCCCCTCCCCCCGACAGGCGCGTAAGAGTCCGCTAGATGCGCTGAGCCGCATGAATTATCGCCAGGATCCCTTCCAGCGCCGTTCGGGCCTGCAGGATGTGGACGATTCCTTTATGGCAGCCAATGCTTTTGCACGTCCCTCACGCTTGCGGCACTCGGGCCTGGAGGGCAACATGTCCGTGGCCAGCAACCAGCCGGCAACAAATGCCGCCGTTGCACCCATACGAGTTGCCTCGGGCCAGGAGGCGCCGCAGATGCAAATGCAATACCAGCCGCAAATGCAGCAGCAGCAGCAGCAACAGCCGCCGCAGTCTGCCCAGATGCCACAGCAAGCAGTTTCAAACCTGGCTCCGGCGCAGGTGCCTCTACAACAGCAGCCGCCGCCAGCACAACAGCAACAACAGCTGGCACCAGCCACTGTTGTGCCCACACAGCAGTCGATGCCGCAACAGCAGCAACCGACGCAATACGTGCAGCAGCCGGCTGCTGGTCAACCCACGCGCCATGAGCCTTACCCCAGTGGACGCGCCCATGTGCAACACCAACATCAACAGCAACAGCTGCAACAGCAGCAACAGAATCCCCTTGAGCAACAGCAGCTGGCACAGCAGGATGCACAAGCTCAAGCTCAAGCTCAAGCACAGATGCAGCAGCAGCAGCAAATGCAACAGCAGCAGCAACCGCCCGCCCAGTTGTCGCCGCGCAAGTACCAGCAGTTGCAGCAGCAGCAGCAGCAGCAACAGCAGCAACAACAGCAGCAGCAGCAACAGGGCTACGTAAATATGCCACAAGTTGCATGCGTATCTGAATTTAATGACACCTCAATCCCATAGCCCTCGCAGGGAACGGGCGCTGGAGCTGTGCCTCCAGCCGCCGAAATGTGCACCACATGCCCCAATTGCCAGACGACCATCTATTTGGTGCGCACGCCCGAACTGGGGCACGGCGATGCTGGCCTGCCGCTGCAGTAGACCACATGCTTTTTGTCAATCCCATACAGAAATTCATTCCAGAATGCAAACAAAAAATCAAAGAAAAAGTCTAAAAAAATTTAAATGAAAATGAGAACTTTGGCGTACGAAATTCAAGCTCATATTTAGATGCGTGTGCGTGTGTGTATGGGGATTGCGCGCAGGCCCCATACCCTGGAGAGAAGTGGTGCTTTGCTTGGTGATCACAATGCATCCAAATTTGAAGTAGACCCCGACGAACAGCAGCAGCCGCTGCAGCAGCTAGTTGCAGCACAAACATAATACAAATTCCCCCCTCCAAATTCTCGGTTCACCTTTCCCGACTTAAATACTGCCCAAGTCGAAACAAACGAAAGATGAATAATTTGTTTTTTTGCCAGAACAGCTCGAAACTTCCATGCTCTGACACGAAATTTCACTGTAAATAAAGACTCGTATTTTATTTTACTGAAAATTTGGTGTCGCTACTTTCGCTGCGGGTGGTGTGGCCCATTTTGTGGGTCAACCCCTAAGAGTGTGGCGAAATACCAACCCCGCGGCTATTTGGGCTGCTTTCTGGCCGCGTGCCAAGGGGCTGTTCATAAGGGCGAACCGCGTGTGGAGAATAAAACTTCGCTTGACACTTGTGCTAGATTCTGCCAGGCGGAGGGGTATGCGTCTTTTTGTTTCCTGTATTCAAAATGTTTGTAATTCATTTAGGCGACATTCTGGCTGTTAATAAAGCAATTCATTTGGTTACCGCTGAGCTAAATAAGTTTAGTGTAATCGACCGTTTTTTTTTTCAATTTGCTTTTCTAACAACTTTGGTTAAGGAAAGTAACTGCAAAATATATACTGGCACTCTCATGAGTACCCCTAATACTTAGTTTTACAAAGACAGATATGACCTAGATGTTTAATATGTTCATTTTCATCTTTATTCTTCAACCCTCGTGCAGATAATTCACTCGGGCAGCGCCAGTTCCAGCAAGGGCGGCGGCGGAGGCAGCGCAGAGTCTAACAGGTAATCCCAGTCGCTAATCCTTGTTTTTGACATTATTTTGACTAACACCTGAGCATATTTTATCATTCGGTTTATAATTTGTCATTTTGGTTTCATTTCTTTCTTTTGTTGTCTTTCAGAATCAAATAATTACGCATACGCACACACGGCTGCATTACATTGAAAACAAATATCAACTAATCAAGTGTACAAAGCTTTCTTTTTATAGAAGATTATTTATAATTTTGCATTATCATAGGTTTTAATTATGAGTGAATTTACTTAATGTACAATCAGCGAGGAGACTGCACTCGCCGCACACACACCCCCCAACACACCTCTACCATCACTTAAACCTTCACATATACACACACACACATACACGCACACTCACGGCACGGGTAGTCAGCTCGATCGGAACCGTTACACAAAATACCTGATAATTGTGATTACATTTGTATAAATTTTTATTTTAACTCTTAACATTATTGCATTGTTTTTTGTCTAATTTATTTTCATTTGTCGTGCAATAAAATCAACAAGAAAATTAAATTGATATACATTTAGTGTAGTATGTTATTTAACAGCCTCTGTTAACTTTTTCAACAGAGGCAGCGACATTGCCGAACTTGCCGCACAATTCCAGAATTTGCACTCGGTTGGCGATGTTCTCGAGCATTATCACTTGGAGCTTGACCGTGAACCGGAACCAGAGCCTGTATCCGAGGAGGTGATCACTCCAGCATCGCCGCCGCCCAAGAGTTACACCCCAACTCCGCCAATAGTGCGTTCGCCGGAGGTGGTTGAGAGCATTATTGGTGAGAATCGTAAGCCGCCGGCTTTTCAGCTGAGCAAGCAGCACACTGGCATGAAGAATCGCTCCTTTGGCGTGGGCATGGCCGTTATGCCTAGCGACAAGATGGAGTTCAATCAGCCGGAGCGCGAAGATTTCGGCGTGGTAAAGATCAACCGTCCGTTGGGCAATGAGATCCCCTCGCCCGGTCAGGACAACACAGATGCCATGTCCACTGTGTCGTCAACGGCCGGCCTGACCGATCAGGGCTTTAACGATCTAAAATTCTATCACAATAAGTTGTGGTAAAGCCATACAAGAGATATCAGCATATTTGCGAGCAATAGTTGCTAATGTGTTTACATTTTTTGTACGTGTCATAAACATATAATATGCATAACAATTAATATGAAATTAGCATTTAAGATATACTTATTAACAAACTAGAGAAAAACACAACGGTTCCTGTTTGCTTTAGTTCACTTTTGTTGTTCGCTTTGTAGTTTTTTGTTATGTTAATTAGTTCATTTGTTACACCCACGCACTTAAAAGCGCAGTTGAATGTTAATAAACAACAGCAACATTAACAGTCTGTAGCTCTATGCAGTTAACAGCAGTCAAGCAAACAAATTATTAGCGAATAGAATATTAATGTTATTCAACAACTGTGCGTATCTTCCATTGCAGCAAACGCGATTATTACGAACAGATATATAGCGAATATATGCTATAAGTGGCCCACATACCTAATATACCAATTCCTCGAACCAAATTAAATGTATTCTGTAATATTTAGTTAAGCATTGCAATAATAGTCCAAAATAAAGTAAACTTTCAATTCTATTTATATATGCCAAGCACATGCCGCTTGGTCTTTTTCCATTTAATTTGCCATACAAATATGTACGTAACACACACACACATATACAAATGAAATGGAAATCATCTACATGCGACGCGCCCAGCTGAGGTGCTGTAAATTATAAAGTAGAGCTATCGTTGGTGATGCAGCCTATCTAGGGGGAAAGTGGGGGACAGCGACGTTAAATCTGCGCCTTTGCCTTACATATAGATAAAGTTGAATCTGTAAAGAATGTATAAGTTAGCAAGGAAAATCATAGTATACACATAGAATCTGATGTCTTACCTGCACAACGCCTGCGGCAGCGATGATATAATGGGTCCATAGCCTTGTGAATTGTCGTACAGCTCGAATAGGGGCGCAGCAACAAGTTTATAATTTTTGGGCACAGCAAATAGTGCTAGATTACAGAAAACGATAGAGACAGAATTTATGTATGTAGCAGAGAGCATTAGATATAATAAGGGGTTATGGTAATCACATGATTATTGCAATAACTAGATAATTACAATCGGTTATACAAAACAATTTACATAAGAAAGATTCGCTGCCGTAATTACGTATGATATATAAAAGTTTGTATTATGGTTGTTTTTTTTTTGTTTTACATTCACAGTTGTTGATACTTCGTTAAACTAAATTAATAGATTTTGTTCTTGATGCGCAAAATTCAAATCAACTCGGATATGACTTCAATAAAGCCATCGATTTTGGGCATCAAACAAAGTCTACTAATTATTGTGATAAGAACATAATTTCGATTACCATTAAGAGCAACATTCATTATACATGGTGCGTGTGAACGCGAGTGTTGCATAATGGATGATGTCAAGGAAGTACTAAACACAGAGTTATAATTGTTGTTACATAAACGAGTGCTTAAATTATTTAAGAAGCGACTGCGACTGCCTGCCTAATCCAGTTGCATTTGCCATATGCACGCAAATCAGCACAACACGCGAGATTTGTCCGCATTAACAGACGACAACCGGCAACTTTTACAATGCACTTTCAACTATAACTTTCACCTGCCTGCCCGATTAATAAAGGCTCAACACATAACAAAGAAAAAATGAGTATCGTGTGTAGGATTGCGCTCTCTGGCTTACAGAAGTGTCGACATATTTACAAAATTAATACAACAAGAACAATCAAAGAATTTCGGGATATGCGCAAAATATGCCAACAACTCTGAGAGCAACAAATACAATTTGAAGTAAGTTTTGTACAAAAAATTGAACTAGAATCGACGAACTAATTAAAATTGTATGCGCCTCGGGGCCATTATGCGATCTGTTTCTGATTCTTTTCATTTCTGTTTGTTCAGTTTGTTTGCACTCTTGAGTAGAGCGTTGAGGAAGAGCTCTATGCTTGGTTGGGCAGATGCCAGATGCGTGAGATTACACAACACAACACGGCGCTATTGGAACAGCTCAGGGTACATCGTAACTGGCGTTCCTGTCCGTATCTAAACAGCATTGAAAAGATATGACATGAGGTTTGTTAGCGTATCGGTTTGGCAATAACTTTACAAGGTTATATGTTTATAAAAGTATTTAGAAGGGTACTTTTTTTTTGGCCGTCATCAATACCTACTCTCGGGACAACACTTTTGGCTAGCGCATTGGATATTTACCCTTTTCATGCAATTGCACCAAAAACAGACGTTTGTGCTCCTTTGGTTTGGTTATGTGCGGTGGAATGTATGGATATTGTGGTGGCTCGAAATTTGGGCGCCACCAATTGCCAATGGTGTCCTCGACAATCCAATCCTGTTTGACGCCATCCTGACGGCCCAGCGTCTGCAAACCAAACACATTGCATTACACTGCGATCTTAATTTGTTATGCGTCTCATTGACTCACCTCAGAGAGAAGACGCTTGAGACCTTCTACTTCATCCTCGCCTGCGTTCAGCTCACCGCCTGGCAGCTTAAAAAATGTAGTCCCAAGTTGAAGCAGCAGCACATGCGGTAATCCATGCTCATGCACAAGCAGTACGCCCTCTACAGAGCGACGCATGCCAATCCGATCGAACTCCTCGCGCATACGCTGGAAGCGTGACGGCACTGAAGGATCTTTCTCAAAAAGCGGCTCCTTGGTACCGAATGTGTAGTTGGTTAGTGGGTAGCTGGCGTTGAAGAGGTAAAGAAATGTGTTTAAAGTTCCCCATTATATCGTACAGAAACTACTTACAGATTGATTGTGCGGTTTATGGTCAATGCTTGATTGGGCGCATATTTTTGTGTGCCATTATTGCTGATGCTGGCGTCAGCTTGGCCTTGGCTGCCGCGCCGCGGCCAGCCGGAGCCCGATTTGTTTGAGACTTGCGAGGACGCCATCTTGTTATACACACAACGCCGCAATGGCAATGAAAAATCTACAATTTCGGCGCAAAATTCCAATTGGATACGCTAAAATAGATTTTCACACTCACGCACTTTGAATACTTTTTCAATCAGTTCGTTTCTTTATTAATAATATGCAGTGTATGTATATTTTTCTTAATTTTAAATTCTGCTTTTCGATTGCAAAAAAAATTCACGCCGGCGGAGAATGCAGAATACACAAAACATGTGTACACACTGTAATGTGGGCCAGCGATGTGTGCACATTGGCGGATAGCGAATGGCCTATTTTTCAACCATCTGGCAGCACCGAACATCACATTTCGGCCGACTGGTCACTCTGAACACATTTACATTAGTTTTTTGTTTATGTTGGGAAGTCGTCGGAAAATTCGGCTGTTTTGTGTGTGCCGCAATGAAAAGCTGCTAAAAAGCTAAATATAAAAATCAGCGCAGTGCGCGGCCGTCTATCGGTGCATTGTTTTGTAAGTGCAGTCAGTAGGCAGCAGCAGCAGCAGCAGTCGTTGAGAAAAAATTATGTGAAGCAGAAACGCAGTTTTTGTTTGTGTATGTGTATGTACATTGTGTTTTGTATGTGTATTGTGCAATGAAACTGGAAAACCATTATTATAAATGAAAACGCGTGAAATGTGTGAGTGCAACATTGAAAACGCAACACACAGTTGCGCTTGCTTTGAACTTTTTCATTTTCATGTTTTCTTTTTATTACATGCTGCCCCTACTCTTTCGCAGACAACGACCAACTCCTCCCACTTGTACGTGTGCTAGTGCGGGGTGCGCATTGAAGGGTGTTTGAGTGTCTGTGCTCGTGCATGTGCCTGTCGTGTGTGTGTGTTAGTGCGTGCACGATAAGACTTGTGTTTGTAGACAATATATAAATGAATACATGCATGTTAAATGTCAAAGAAGGCGACGCGTAATATGCACACACATTAATAACGGCAAAAGGTCAAAAGTTAAGCTAAAAACAGGACTCAGGCATCGTAATGCTTTAAGACAGCGGTGGAGAGCGAGAATGGGCGAATGTTAGTGTGAGTGAACACAATATAGGAACAAAGAGAAGAGCAAGAAAAACGTCACAGAAGCGGGGCAATAGGCGACCGCAGCGAACAGCAGCAAGGGGAGGGCGAAACAAAAGACTGCTAAAAGCTAACAAACAGCAAATAACAACAACAATAAAAAACAATAACACCAACACTAAGCAAAAATGTCGGCAGCGGAGCTGGAGGCTGAAAGTTCCGCACAGGAGCAGCACCCGCAACAACAACAAACCCAACAACAACAACAACAAAACGAACACACAAGCAACAACATCAGCACTGCCAATGATGCTGAAGCCAATCCGTATGGCGCGGAGCTAGACGAAACCATTGAGACTATGACATCAAGCAACAACTACAGCATTAATGTGGAGCAACATCTGCAGCTTAATAATATGCAGCAGCATGTACAAATGCAACAGCAACAACATCAACAGCAGCAGCAACATCAACAGCATCAGCAACAACAACAACAACAACTAGATCAGCAGGGCGACATGGGCCTTGGACTGACACTGATGCAATCCTCTCCACCACCCCACAGCTATCGACACTCGCGCGCCTACCGCCACTTTAAGAACCCGCCACAGCCACACATGTGCATACGCACGACTACAGAAACCGGCGAGGAGTTATTCATAAATGTGCTTAGCTGGACGCGTATTGTAATACCACAAGAGCCCAGTGATCCCATACCTCTGTATGGAGGCATGCGCGTAAGTTTCTGTTGTATATTATTATGCAGTCAACCTATTTTAATGGGGTTGTCACAGGTGCCGCCTGGCAGTCCTCGCAGTCCACCCATCGTCTTTGCTGTTATGGCCAATCCAGAGGTGCTCAAAGATTCTGGACGCCATAGCAAGGATCCGGAAGAACGGCGGGCTATGGTGGAGCTAATGTGCGACTTTGTGGAGGCTATGAATCCCGGCGTGAAACTAGTCAGGTGCGCAGCGCTGCAGCGCCTTTCCATTTCCATATTTAAATAACCTGCTTCTTTTACAGAAACGCCGTCATACTCAAGGATCGTGACATTTCAGGCGAGCTTAAAGACGTCTGGAATGCTGTGCAGGCGCAGCGAGACCGTGAGCGCGAGGAGCAAATGCTGCAGCAACGTCAACAGCAGCACTATCAGAACATCACCACACAACAAATGTTTCCCAAGTCGCCGGATGCGGCGCGTGCCGGCAGCTCAGTACAGTCAAATGCTGCCGAGATCGGTTTGCCGCCAGCATACAATGCCGATCTCATGGCGGCGGATCATGGCAATGGCATTACATTAGCCGTATTTGCTCAGCAGCTGGATAACAAGGTGGCCAGTGAGCAGCTGGAAGAGCAGCATCAGCAAGAACAGCTGAGTGGCAATGAGACAGCGCCTGGCGAAGCCTGCACTGATCAAACAGATGCGGGTGGGGTTATTAATGGCATTAGCGGCTCGCCGCCTGCTGTGGAGAATCTATCAACGCCAGAGCAACACACACAAGAGCCAGAGAGCAAATCAGCTGCTTCCACTGCTAGCAACGGCAATAGTACGCCCACAAATACAGCAGCAGCGCCCACACCAGTTGCTTCTGCCCAGCCCACACCCACACCTCCTGCAGCCGCGGCAGCGCCCACCCCAGCAGCGCCTGTCAAGAAGGAGAAGCTTGGCGGCTTCTTGCCCAACGGTTGCATTTTCCCGCGTTTCAAGAACAACAAGCACAAGGACAAGGACGGCAATCACAAGGAGAGTAAGAGCAAAGAGAAGACGCTGCTTAATGCGCTTAAGAAGAGCAAGGAAAAGAAGGTGGCGCCCAGCGAGCAAACGCCCAGTGACAAAACGGCCATCAGCTCTGATAATGGCACCTCACAGTATGAGAAGAACTGCATCAACAATCTCGAGTGCGAGGTGCAAAAGCTCGATCTGAATAGCAGCAATAACGACAACAACATGTTCATCAAGCTGAAAGTGGCGCCCAGTGCAACGTCGGCAGCGGCCGCCGTCGCGAAGTAGTTGAGTATAAATGATAACAATGATAACAACAACAACTTTGGTAAGTAGGGAGAAGAGTAGAGAATAACAGAAGAGTTAAGTATAACAGGCAAGAATGTAAGAGATTAACGAGTAGACAGAAAACTACCCAAAACTAGCACTTCACTAGCACCTAGGCATATACATAGAGTCGTGGACGTTTAGCATATACAAGATTTACATATATATATATATATGTATACAAATCTAATATATATACAAGTACATATATATACAATATATACAGTTGTATCAGTCAATTTTTGAACGCAAATCGACAGACTCTCGAAAGTAATATCTGAAATGAAAAAAAAAACGTTGTGCCATGTTCCCATTCATACTTACATACATGCATACATATACAAATACATATACATATACATATACAATACACAGTGTATACTGCGTACAATGCCCAATTGTCTGGGTATTGTCGTCAATAGTTTTTCCAGAATTCTTCCCCGGCATACGTAAATTTAACAAAAAATATAAAAATCAAGTATTTATATAGTTCAATATTTGTATGTTTCGCATACAGTTTGCCTTATATACAAATCCAAAACAAAGAGAGAGACAAAAAAATGAAAGAAAGTGGAAAACAAACAAATCTTAAAATAGGTCAATCGTAAAGAAACTCATGCGCCAAATTATCATCAGAATACATTGAACTCTGCACTGGACACTGCACTACACTAACCCCCCGCCCCTCCCATCTTCTAACTAGACTAACTAGACATACACACTACACTTAGTCACATCAGCAAACGTATTGAATGTCAGAGATACCCCAGTAAAAAAAAAGAAGTATTACGAATTTTTCCTGTATCACGCTCAAAATGATCTCCACGTTTTTGAAGTTGAACTCGAGTGGACGACGCAGGCTCTATAAAGTACCTTCCGTGCCAATGCTAATTGGTATAACTATGAGACGCTATTTTTTGTTTATTTTTATTTCTATGCTTTATTTTATTTTATTTTACGTTTTCATTTCCCAATTACAATAACTATTCAAACGATTTTAGTTATTAAAGAACAGTTCCAAATTACTTGAGTAATGTAAAAACAAATGACCTGAACAAGTACTTAGCATCATAATACATTTATGATTAAAGAGCTCCTATGATATGCACTCGAATCGTATTCGTGCTAACTGGTTATATCCTCGAAAAAAAAACATAAATATTATATTAGTTAGTTATCGTATTGTTTATTTACGTTTATTTTGTTTTGTTTATATCTTATTCACACGTCGTTCCCAGTTACCGAGCGAAACATCAACTTCAAAACGCAACCATTTACGAATACTATACCGAATATACCGACAAATTCGACAGAAATCATTCACATTAACTGAATACAAACAACTCAACATAATATGCAAAAACAAAACTCAATATTGGACTGAACAAAGCTGCCATATATAGATCGCATACATATGTAAAATATATGTACGCATTTATAATGTTTGCTTTTCATTTAAACGAAATTCAATTGTGATTCATTTGAAAATCAAATTTTTGTTTTTAACATCGAAAACTATTTTCAACATTTTAAAGCATTTAGTATACTGAATAAAATCTAATTTTTTTGTTTGTGTTTGTGCAAGTAATAAAAAGAAAACATAAAAAAAAACCTTAACTTTGGCATGCCGAAGATTGAATACCCTTGCAAGCTAACGACCCTTAAAACAAAAACTCCTTGTAAGCCCTTTAAATAATTAGATTAACTTTTCATGTGAAAGATATAGGACTCAGTTTTGACTGATCCTGACTTCAAAACTGCCTGCATTTAAAAAAAAAAGTAAAATCTGTACTAAGTCCTATTTAGATTATTTAAAAAATAGCATCATTTGCTGCAAGGGTATATTTTAAATTATATATTTTAGGCAGCACCCAAAAGCATGCAACAAAGTATTCTCAGACTCGATTAAAATTTACGTTTTCCTTGCGAGAAAACCTCGCCAGCCTCTCCAGTGCCATAAAATATGGCATTTGAATAAAAGAAACGTTTTAAAACGCAGGCTAAAGATATATTTTAAAATAAAAAAAAAACAAATTTTAATTAATTACAAATATGTTTGTGAGTTGAAGTGAGAATTAACACAAACCTAAAGCATTAAATTAATTAATTATTTAATTAACGTAAATGTTAGTTTTAACTGGTTGTAAATGCAAAAACAAACAAACAAAATGCTCGTGTAAATTAGTTAAAATTGGCGCACGACAACAGCAACAACAGCAAGAAAATACCTTGAATTAAGTGAAAACTCCCAACACATTATGATTAAAAAGTCGAATAATACTTAATTTAAGTTCAAGTCTTGCAACTGAAGAGCAAAGCGGAAGCAATAATTTTACGCGAAAAAACAGCAAAAAGAAAAAAAAAAACAAAATGTAAATGTAATGCAACAAAAACATATAACAACAAGAGAGAACAACAAACAACTAACGTGTTAAGATTAACAACAAATACAATTATACAAGTGGACGGGTTAAACAACAAATAAAACAAAACGAAAAAAATGAAAACCAAACCACATTTTATATATATATGTAACAATAAAAAGATCGTATTTGAGAAATGTATAAGCTGCTGCATTTATTTAATATCATCGAATAAATATTTAGAGTTAAGATATTTCTATGTACGTAGGCTAATATCGGGCACAGCAAGGACTCTATTCGTCCTTGTTGTTGACGGCGCGCAGGCGTTCCAGCTCCTCGCGTTCCGCCTTGTTGCGCAGCAGCGGCACGTTGTAGTCGAAGGCATAGAAGAAGCCCTTGGGCTCACCCGTCTCTTCGGGTCCGGGCACATATGGCTTCTCCTCGTGCACATACTCCCGAGTCTCGGCCTCGCTGGGCTGATAGGCGCCCTCACCCTGCTGGTACTCGGCGGCATAGGGATCGGGATTGTGTCCGGCGGCGGCGGCCAGCTCACCCCACAGCTTGAAGTGCTCCTCCTCGGCCTTCAGCACCGCGGGCGTCTTGGTGGCTGGCTGTTTCAGATGCGCGGGCCGATTGTCTTCCACATGGAAGCCACTTCTGTCCGCATAGTAGGTGGCAACGAAGTCGCGTCCATGGGGCTGGACATACTTGTAGGAGCCGGTGACGGTGCCGGCATCGTCGCGCTTCTCGTTCTTGCCCTGATTCCAGTCCTTGTAGCCGTACACATACTGTCCCAGACCATCCTGGCCATGGTACTGATGCGCATCATAGTGCTCCTCCACAAAGTCCTCGGGATGATCTATGACACGACCCATGTACACAAACTCGCCCCGCTCATTGCGCGCTTCCGGCAGTGGATTCTCGCCTGTCTTGGGCGCATACTCGATCTCATTGACGCCGCGCAGCTGGGCACTGCTCAAATACTGTTGCGCCTCCTCCGGCGTGATGTTGATCTTAAATATGTTCTCGGCGCTAACGCAGCTGGCCTGCAAGAAGAAGAAAATACGTAAAAGCGCATGGATTAGTTATGGACAGGTTTTTGGCTAACAATTGTGCCACGCTTCACAGCTTTTGCTGAACTTTAGTCCGGCTGCTAATGATGACGCTGATGAAGATGAGAATGGAGCTAGCTGGTGATGATGTCACTCGATTCGTGTAACAAATTTGCAAATCTATTAGGCAAACAGTCGGCCGTATTCATATTTGCACTTGCCCGTCACATTTGACATTTTTACAACCCGGATTTCTAATTGTATAGATCTATAGATGTTCAATCAAAATTATTCAAATGACATAAATTGTTGCCAATTAATATGCACAGAAAAACGACACAAACAGCGGGCACAATATTTTTTGGCTACTAACCAGCAAAGAGGCGGCTAAAATGAAGCACTTCATCCCGAAACTTGATTATCACTTTGTATCTATATATGGTATATAGCTTTATCGTATAACGAACACTGTTCTGCTGCTGCTGGCGATCTACTAATAACTAAATAACTTAGGGCAACGCTTTTATACTAACTTTGCCTCGCAGTTTGTTTTTCAGTTGCGAGTTGTGTGTTGTTTTTTTTTTTGCTTTGCATAAAATTAGCAGCTGAGCTTTGAATGAAGATGTGCCGTGTTGCTGTCCGGTTTTTTACTCAGCAGCATCCCAACAACAGCAGCAGCAACACCAACAACAGCAACAACAACAACAACATGATGATGAACTTCAAATTGTTGTTTAGCTCAAATTCACACTTCTCACGCGTTGCTGATGCTGCCCGCATCATTAATTCGATGTATGTGAGTACTCGTATGCTCAATTAGTTATTTAATAATAATATTTATTTTGCCTTTTTCATTTATTGTTCCTTTTTTGTTTTTTTGTATTTTATAGAATAATTCGTTGGCTGTAAGCGCACCCGCAAGTGTCTGTCTGTCGCAGTTTAAGTGGCATTTTGGTGAGCTCGTCCGCTGTCAAGTTATATCATAGATCTTTTTAATACCCTGTAAAAAAAAGCAAAGGGTAGCAGGAACTGCTTTCACTGACAGTGCGTGCTGTGATTTAACTGTGGTAAGTCGCTTCCTGATGAGCTTTTGAAAGAAGCCTATATAAAAAGTTAGATGGTTAGTTTGTAACTTTATCCTACACCATTAAGAATAATGAAGGAAAGTTCCATTGGGTTCTGTCCGGAAGTTCTTTAGACAAGCGATCCCCTTAAGATATAGAGACTTTTATAGGTGCCTGATATTATAGCTACGTATTGTAGCGCAGATCGATAAAGTAATTTAAAGGTTAATAACTTTATGGGCTAGGGAAAAAAAAATTTCCAGTACATCGAAGGTTGAGATTTGAACTTTAAGGTAAATGCTTAATAACTTTTTAAATCGCATGAATATTATTATATATAGTTAAGATTTAATCTAAGCAACTGGTTCGGTTTTTAACAAGTGTCGAAACCTGTTCAGCTATCTATGAAATATTTAAGATATGCCACATACTTATTATGATCCACCTTTAAGCAGCTCTCATGGGAATTGGGTAGCACGTGGTCGAGCATTTTAGACATTTGTTGTTTGCTGCCGTTGAGCAATGATTTATTTAGTATTAAACATTTTTTGAGCACTTCCATCAATTTTTACTTCTAATTAATGCAAAATGTACCGCTTCAGCTTTGGGTTCGGGTTTCCTGTAGAGAAGCCGCTCAGCGGAAGCTTTCGGTTCAGACACTTGACTTGTCCGCTGATATATGCATAATTAGATGGATGGGTAATCATATCTCCATGTGCGCTATCGAGTGTCAGTGCGAGTGGCTACTTCGAGCAATGAGAACTAGTTGGCTATAATTCCGCAAGTTTGTTGCCTAAGTCTTTCGTATAGCGCTTCAATTTTTATTTTTTTTGTATTTGTTTTCTTTCTTTTTTTTTTTGGGATTTGTAGATCGTGTAAGGGCTCAGCATTTAACTGCGCAGTTTCTCAATTACGAAAATTACAAAACGATATTGCCTATTTAAATAATAGGTAAGCTGCACGCCTTGAGAGGCGCATCGAGACCTTGCGACTGTTACAAGCATCTGAAGTTGACCGTTAAAACAAATTTGAATTGCCATCTCATCCGACAAGCCCAGTCGCAGTTTACCCCAAACAAATAGTCATTTTTCTATGCACACACTATTGACCATTAATAATAATCTTAAATTCGTATTTTTAGCCTCAACTTTTGTTTTTTCTTACTTTTCATAGACGCAAATGGCGTCTTTATGGCTTAGGCGTTCGCCGAATTTCATTAGTTGCAAAGAATAGCATAAATAAATTGGGTTCTTAATATTTAATGATTCACCAACAGGTTAAAACAATTTTTGTTTTCTGTTCTTAGCAACAACATAACAAGTAGGGCTTTCCGACGCTTAAACTTTATTTATGTTGTTTCGTTATTCAATCTTGAGATTCTTGCAATGACTGGAATTGACGTTGAGTATAAACAAATAAATTAATGCATATATAAACACGGATAAAGAATAATGGGACTATGCCGCAATTGTTTGAATCATTTCTTATACGATATATTCTTGAAAAATGCTGTAAATATGTTTGTTTATTTTGTTGTTGTTGCGGATGATGCAAAAGTCTAAATAAAAACGCAGACCTAATTTTCAAAAGCCGGTTTTTGCAACTGTCGCTGTTATTTAAATATTTTGTTATTATTTCGAATTCTTTGCGACAAATGACGAGCTGCGTTGACAAACTAAACTTAAATACAACTAAATATTTAGAATCAATCGAAAAACTTGAACTCTGCCACTTTCACTGCTTTGGCATTTGATATATTTGAATTTCTTTTGGCACCTGCCAAATGTATAACATAGGAAATTAACAAATTGCTCAAAACTTAAATGCAAATAACTAACTCAAACACTAAGCGAATTGCCAAGCTCACTGAGAGCGCCGAGAGCTGGGCGAGCACCGTGAGCCAAGCGCAGCTGAAAAGTTGGCCAGGTGCCCGCCAGGTAAACACACGCACACGCAACAAATGGCTCCAAAGCAAACAACACTCAATTACACACAGGGCTCGACGAAAGAAAAAAAAAAAGCAAGCAAACGCAGCAGTTGAAATAAGTGCGAGAGACAAAGCGAGGCGAAAACCAGTGCAATACCAAGCGACTGCCCGTTCGGAGCTGTCAGCAGTTAAGTTTCCCAAAAGAAAATACGAAACTAAACCAAAAAAAAAAAAACAAACAACAACAACAAATATGCGCTTGGAGCTGCAGCTGAAGATGCTGCTGCTGCTTTCGCCGGCGCTGCAGGCCGCAGTTGTGCCGCAGCTGGAGCTGGAGCCCGTGGACGCAGTGCAGGAGATTGGCTATCTGGAGCTGAAGCCGAATGGCACGTTGATCTTGCGACATGCCGCCCATCAGAGTGACGGCAATCTGCAGAATTTGCTGTTGCTGCGCAGCGTGTTGCAGGCACTGAAGCTGCATCCCGGCGAGGAGCAGTCCAAGCTTAACATCAGGATCTATGGCGATGGTGTGGAGCAGAAGTTTCCGCCGCTGCTGGAGAACATAATACAGCGCATACAAACATTCTTCTCCATCTACCGCTATACGGACACCAGTCGACCCGTGCGCAAAGATGAGCCAACCACGGAGCCGGCCGTAAGCACGCGAAGAGCCGAAGATCCGAAGGCAACTCAAGTGCCCCAACAGCAGGTTGCCTGATTAAATGTGGGCGAGGATTGGACTGCGGATTGGACTGAAATATGAGAGATATTATATTTATTTATTTGGTATTTATTTTGGTGTTTAGCTTAGCGATTGACCAGCAATAAAAGCCACGCTCCACGGCTATTGTAACTGTAACGTGGAGGGGCGCCCGCATTTTGGCCAGCTTATGGCTGGGCACGTCTCCACGGCTACTTAGTATGCGTCGCCGTGTCTGGAGCGCGATTTATGTTTAACTCTGTGTAATATGCGCAATATTTTTATGCTGCGGCGAATTACTGGGACGCGTTTGCGGGTTCGGCAAATTGCATAATTGCAAGTGGTATATATATTGTATATATATATGTTATATCGATTTGGGGTCAGGCTTATCCCAGGTAGTTGTGGAGCAACAGCTTTAACAAGTTCTGGATGTGCCTATAAGTCATATATTATTCAAAATGTTGAGCAAATTATAATACTAAACAGGTCACCAAAAACGTTTCGTCATATTATTCAAAATAAATACTTACTAATTAGATCCATGCTAAATGAATCGAATTCGGAGGCATTCACTGCGTATATAGATACATGGCATATACATTCTATATATGTCTGTATGTATGTACGGATGTAAGGATGTACGGATGTATGTATGTATGTATGTATGTATGTATGTATGTATGTATGTATGTATGTATGTATGTATGTATGTATGTAAGTATGTACGGATGATCAGATGTATGTATGTATGTGCATGCATGTATGTATGTCTGTATGTATGTATGCATATATGTATATATGTTTGTATGTGTATAAGGATTTATGGATCTATGTAGACATAGGTCGAAGTTTCCAACTCCCATAACTTGGTCAAAACTCAACGGATTTTCATATAGTTTGGCTTTTTGTTCATGAATTGACCTCTAGTTCAATTTGGCATATAAATCTGGCAGCATTATTTTTGGTTGAAATTCATGTCAGATATCCTAAATAGACATAGGTCGAAATTTCCCATTCCCATAACTCGATCAAAACTCAACCCATTTTCACGAGACTTGGTTTTTTAATTTGGCATCTAAAGCTGGCAACTTTTTTCTTGTTATATACAAATTGATACTTACTTTACTTTAAGCCAATATAGATCTAGAATTGTATTAGCTGCTAGTATACTAAAGTACATTTGAACTAGGTGTCAGATTGAGAGATCTGCATACTTATATATATGGAGGCATCCGCCATTCCACATTGCGTGGAACGTGCACGTTAAAGTTCGTTGCCGAAGTTTTTTGTTTTCACCTCAAATGCGAGTACAGCAGAAAGTTGCACGCAGCTGGCTGTTCTATCTCTTCAAGCTCATATGCAAGTTCGTTGCCCAAGTCTTTTGTTTAATACCTACCCCCACCCCCACCCCCCAAAGAACATGTGTAATTAAGTTTGCAGCATTTTACATTTTACATTCACTTTTTTTTATTGTTCTGTTTTACATTTTCAATTGTTATGGTTATGAATATAATGAATGATGATGATGATTATGAACGTGTTCTCAATGATGTTTGCTATGAATGAACGTATATGCATGTAGATGTTTGTTTTGTTTTATTTTATTTTATTTAATTTTTTTTTTTATTATTTTCTTGACGCCTTTTATGCTGTTAATTAATGTCGGAAGTCGGAAATCGTTTCTCTGTGACTGTGTTAGTAACTAAATGTATTAACCCACGGCCTGGCCAGAGCCTAGGCACGGAACAGATCGAGTTGTAGAATACCAAAGTTGCCCATAGAATATGTGTATGAGTGTGCGTGTGTGTGTGAGTGAGTGTGTGTCGGATGTGATCTGGTATGATGTGATGAATTGCATTTGTGGTCGTGGCTACTTAGGCCTCTGGCGCCTGTACAATGGCTGGCTGAGCCTCGGGCTGTGCCTGCAACTGCAACTGCAACTGCGGCTGCGGTTCAGGCAAGGCCGCGGCATCGGCAACGGGAATGGCCTTGATCAGCGGCTGCTCCTCCTGCAGTTTGGCTAGTAAAATAATAAGATAATCAAATAATGGTTCGAGTTCAATTCAGGGAGTACTCACGTTCTGGCTGGGCGGCCTCGTTGCTGGCCTCCTTGAGGGGCTCCTTGATGGTCTCTAGGCTGGCACCCTTGAGGGCCTCCTTGAAGGGCTCCTTGATGAGCTCCTGGATGGGCTCGCTGCTGGCCTCCTTTCGGGCCTCTAGATGGGGCTCCAGACTGTCTTCCTTTCTGGCCTCCTGGGTGGATTCCTTTCTGGCCTCCTGGGCAGCTTCCTTTCTGATCTCTTGGACGGCTTCCTGGATGGCTTCCTTTCTGGCTTCCTGGATGGCTTCCTTTCTGGCCTCCTGGATGGCTTCCTTTTTGGCCTCCAGAATGATTTCCTTCTTGGCCTCCTGAGCGGCTTCCTTGATTGCCTCCTTGGTGGTTTCCTGGATGGCCTCCTTCCTGGATTCCTGTATGGCCTCCTTGATGGCCTCCTTAAGGGTCTCCTTGGCAATCTCGGCGCTTGGCTGCTCCGGCTTGATGGCATTGCTCTCCTCCAGCTGACGTCCTGCGATTTCAGCCTTCAATTCACTGGCCTCGACGGCTGCAGGAATGATGGTCTGTGACAGCTGCTCCAATGGCTGTTCCGACTGCTCTGGTTGCGTCTGCTCCTTAAGCAATGGCTGAGCCTCTGGCAGCTCGGCCGCTGGCTTCTCCTCGGGCAGCTCTTGCAGAGATTGGATGGGGGCATCCTCGGTTTGAATGCTGCGTGCGCGTATGGCTGAAATCGGCCACGAATAGACGGGAGCATGCACCACATCGACGACGGGAGTGTGATACACCTGGGGCAGACTGTAGAAATGACGCGCCTCGGTGGCAGCCAGCAGTGGTTGGGTATTGGCAGGCGTTTCAATCAGCTCGATCTTCTCGTTCTTCAGCTTCTGCAGCTCCTCGTTCTTGTTGCTCGCATCGGAGGACGGGAAGAAGCCGGGAAAGAAGCCAGCGCCGGCTGCAGCAGCTGCAGAGGCAGCCTCACCGAATTGACCGCTTGCTACCTCGACGGCCTGTTGTACCTGTTGCTGGATCTGATTGATGTTCGTGGGAAAACCCTCGGATTGCTTGGCCTCCTGCGCTGGAAAACGGCTGCTGGCACGGCCAGTGGACACGGCATCGCTGACGGTGGGCACCACAGAGGCCGTTGCCCCAGCCGGCACATAGACAATGGTCTCCTCATGATGCGGTCCGGAGACGCGCGCCAGCGGCGACAGGCCATGCACGTAACGCAACGCTGGCTCCAGATGCACCTGCGCCTGCGGCGTCACAATGACAATATGCTGGGCTGGCTCCACGACCGGCTGCAGCGGCTTCGCCTGGCTACCCACTGCCAGCAGGCAGAACAGCGCTAAGATGAACATTGTGCTAAGTAGAGAGAGAGGGGGGAGGGATAAAACAAAGCCTTTTTAGCTTCAGTTGTCTATGCTCCTGGCCCGCGTCGGGCTGGTAAACTGGTATGGCCAACGATGGCCTATGCTATTTATAGTTGGCCAACCAAAGTCCATTCTAAATTTAAACTTTATAATTGCGATTGTCTGTCTGTGTGTGTGTGTGTGTGCTGGCACAGGATGCGAACTATTAACCGGTTTGCTGTTTGATTGGCTCTTGGAAAAGCTCCGAAGCAGGCACTTCTGGTGTACACATAAAGTACCACCGACTGGCTGCAATCCGGCCACAATTGCCAGGGGCCAAGTTCTTGGCCAACTCTTTTGATTGTGCGCGCGGCTAATAACTGGTTTTCCGATCATATCTGAGGGCATCAAATTCCCCCACCCAGGTCTTATTACTCGCGCATATTCTATTTAAAGTTACCCCCGCCCGCCCCTTTCCTCGCGTCCCCTGCCATTTACAAGCAATTTAGAAACTGCAGCGTTGAAGAAGTTGCGCATAGTTCAGAGGTTTGTGGAATGCTTAGGGCGTGTTTTCTGGAAACTCAGCTTACCATAACATAATTGCGAAATGAAAAGATTGCAACCACTAATTGTTATGGAAACCAATTTCGTGCTTCAGTCGAGGTAAAAGTCGTTGTTTTTAACAAATGTTAAAGAAAAAAGGAAAAAACTATCCTAGACATATGTCTTATCGGCGGAGAATTGTGAAGCTCAAAAATTACAAAGAATTACTTTCCGTAACAAAAGCCTTATTTGTACCTTTTTGACCAATTCTTTCCAGAGAGCCTTTATAGAGAGTAGTAGCTTATATGCATGGAGCATAGGCAAGCTAATAAATGGTCAAGATATCTTGATAAACAACAAAGTTTTCATCAGACAGATCATTTCTATGGCAGCTATATGACATAGGGGTTTGATTAGTATGTTATGCCAAATCAGATGTCTGCAACACAAAGACGGACATATGTTAAGGAACAGGCAGACGGACAGACTGAAATGGCCAGACCAACTCGGCTGTTGATTCTGAAGAATATATACATATATACATGAAAGATATTTCCTTCTTTGCACTACACATGCCAAGACAAAGTTATAGTGTCCCCTATAGGGTATCAGATGAATATGTTACTAGCGGAACTTACAGGTACTGCAGTCTCTGATAAGCATTCATAATGTTTACTCTGTGGGTAATAAGGACTTCAGGTAAATTTCAAGTAACAATCATTTTTTGAAGACTTTATATTAGACTCAATTGCAAACAGAAAAGGGCAATGCACAGCGCCGGAAAAAAGCAATAGACCTAAAGTCTGAGTTTATTTAAACTCATTTTTCAGTTTATGGCGCAAATTAGTTTAAAAGAATACCTCCTAATGTGCTCATAGAGATATGCTTAGCATTTCTCTTATAATCATATTTATTGTAGCTCATGGGAAAGGTAGAGTAGATAAAACATCCCTAGTCTCAGAAGAATGTGTCGTATATTCTTCTTAGATTCACATTGAAAGGTGATAAAGTGTGTTGATATTTCCTATCTAAGCACAATTCAATGAATTTGAGGTAATAATTTTTTTACGAAGAAGTCAAATTGAGACATATTCTTGATTTATGACAGCAAATTTTTTTTGATAGTCGTTCAAAAAGCGACATAAGTTTGTGGCTGTGGCGAATTTATTATCATAATTATTAAAATAATCAAATAAAGTTAAATGTTATAATTTATATCAGAAAATATCTATTAAATAATATTCAACATGCCAAATTTAACACACATTTTTAACACATTTTATATAAGCGTAAAAATGAATTATAATACGAGTCAACTAGCCAACTAGTCAGCGATTAAATTCTTAACTGCTTCCGGTCTCTATTAACCACAAATGGATTAAATGGATTATGTTCTTTATGGACTATTAAAAAAATTGGATTATGTTCTATGTAGACTATTAAAAATATATAAATTATATAAAAGAAAGTAATATAAGTGTATTTATGGATTTTAATGAATTTAATATCAAACTTATTAAAATACATTAAATTTATATATTTTTAATTCGATTATGGAAATCATTTCCAAAATACATTTTGCTTTACTTCAATCAGATTGCTAAAGCTATTAACTAATAATTTCTGCCTAAAATAGAGATCTCTAGTTATCTACGCAGTTTTATCATCTACCGTGACAGTTAATTTCTTAAATTTAACGACAATAGTTAAAAGTTTAACGACTAGCTCAGATCTTTTATTCGCTTTCCTATGCTTGACCCACGCCCAAATTCATGTGCCAAATTCATGGACACAGATGACTTTCTAAACGCTCAGCGAAATGTTGGCTTGGGGCACGAACTTTTGACATGAAAGCACATTAAGATTTGTGAACTTACCTGATGGCAGCTGCTTCTAGCTCAGTTCTATGTGTGGTGGGGCTTTCGAAAGACCAAGCGCAGTTTAATCCGGATCACAAAACTTAAGCAAAACTTATTTGAAATGGAGCACAAGAGCTGCTTGAACTTGGCACAAATTGTGGCTAGAACTGTGGCTGTGGCTGAGTGCGGTTTTGGTTGGCGGTGGTCTACGTCTTCAGTCTTGACACGGCGACCACTTCAAGGAAACTGGTGGCCAATGCTGGCTGCGATGGGCCTTTTATAATGTGCCGGTGCCTAACTGACCTAGCGCAAGAACAAAGAGATCACAGCCCGTTGACGAAGAAGAAGACCACGGCGACGACGACGACGACGAAGAAGCTGAAAAACAAGCTGAAAATGTTGCAGCTTCCCGCAGGAATAAAGGGGGGAGGGGGAGGGGAGTGGGGTGTAGAGAGGAGCCAGATAGCCAAAAGGAGCACACGCAAAGCAGGCGGCAAATGACCAAAGTTGGCTAAGCAAAAGCGACAACAACAATAACAAGCACTCATGCCACATACTCACACTCACACTCACACTCACACTCACATTCGCAATCACACTCACATTCACACTCAGTATTCGTACTCGTTTTGCACTTGCAGGAGGAGGGTTCTGGTTTCCAGCTACCCAGCTACCAGCTACCAGGTTCTGGCTGCGGCAGATGGTCAACGTAGATGTTGTTGTACGTGCTGCATGCCTCTTCGCCTTGGTCTTGGACTTGCTCTTGGTTTTGGTTTTGGTTTGGTCTTGGTCAAGTTGTGAGTTTGTTAAACCTGCATTGTAATAGAAGTCAAGCAGCAACCGCATTGACAGCCGCTCACACGACCATGATGGGAGCCCTGGCTCTGGCTTTGGCTCTGTCTTTGGCTCTGGCTTTGGCTTCGGCGTCGTCTTCGTCTTTGGCCATGGCTAGAAACTGGGAAACTGGTTCAGGTGCAAATTGAATACATTGTGCATTGCATTTAACTAAGCCCCGCTCGGTCCCCCCCTAACTGGCCAGCGCCTGGCCCATTGGCTAGATTTATTTTTATGCTGCCAGCCTGCCTGCACCGCCTGCTGGCGGAAAAGATTAATCAAGATATGCGCTTGCCTGCGCACTTATATCTTATATCTTATATCTCGGCTGCTCGCTCTGTCGTTTCTCCCTTATTTTTTTGCGCTGTATTTATTTTTATTTTTGTTAAATTTATTTCGTTCTAAAATGTAATCACAGCCTGCAGCCTATTAGATATGCATCTCGGCTGGCCCCCAGCTCCCCGCGCTGCTGCGCCTGCCGGCAGGCTACACAAAATCGGAATCCAAGCGGTTCAATGGCCGCGAATTCAATTTGATACGCAAATTTTTTTATTGCCAATTTGATGTACACAGAAAATATCATGTTCTTAGCTGCAGCGGATGCTCTCTCCACATCCTCCTCTCTACTCGTGGTGCAGACGTCGCTTGGGCGCAGCTCGTATGATCAGCTTTGGCTGCGTCTGCGCCTGCTTGGATCTGGCAGCATACTCCTCGGCAATGGCGACACGCCATTTGTCCACCAGAGCGTCGGCCCGTTGCGGCGTCTCGCGTACGCGCGGAAAACTGGACACAGCCAGCGGCACGTCGCTGTAGTCGTAGTCGTCGCCATTGGCGGAATTGGGCGTCTTGATGACGAGCTGGTTGCGTGATGGCAGCGTTATGCTAAATGCCGCTGCCTCCTCGGGCGTTACGCCAGCAATGGCCGTTGCTTTGGGTGAGGCCACCGCCAGGCCGTTGCGTCCGGAGAGCGCGACCGCATTGGGCTTGGAGGAGGCGACGCCGCCCTCGCCGGCTATGGAGAGACCTAAGGTAGCAAATGGTATAGAGATTAATTATGCGTCCAAGCTAGCCTTGAGCGGGCACACTTACCCACGGGCTTGGCTTCGGCCACGGCTGCATCCTTTTTGGGCGTCAACACGGCCACGCTGTCGTTGACATCCTCGAAGTGATCATCGTTGGGTGGCAGAATGTCTTCGGGTGACAGCTGCTGCTCGGTCACCTCGTCGTGCTTGTGGTCATCAATTTTCTGCTCCGCCGGATTGTTGGCCTCCAGGCCCAGATTGGACGGCTGTTTCTGTGGTACACCGAACAGCTCCGGCTGCAGCAGCACGCTGAAGTCCTTGATCTGCCCGTTCTGCTGCAGCAGCGCCAAGGCTGTGGCCGCCTGGCCCAGCTCCAGCAGACTGTTGGCATAGATCTTGTTGTCCTCCTCGCTGAATGCGCCCTTCCGCTTGGCCAGCTCCTGTATGGCAACCAGACGAGCGGCAGCCTCTTGAATGCGATTGAAATTGCTACCGCTGGTCGAGATCGGGCTGTCCGGGCTGTTGGCCACAGCCGAGAAGCTGGCGGCTGATATGGATATGGTGTCGTCCGTATCCAGTGGAATGCCGCGCAACTGCGGCTGCTGCTGCTGGCGCTGCAACACGCTGCTGCGTATGCTGCCGTCTTGCTGCGGCTGCAGCAGCAGCAGCTGGCCACTCAGGCCACCATAGTAGGGCAGTTGGTTCTCGAAGATCAGCGGGCCAGATCTCGCAGCCGATCTGTGTCTAGGGTTTATAGAGTTGGTTATAGTGCTATGATGGAATGGAGAGCGGCATTTGCCTGTACACAACTGAGTGGGGGCGGGGGGCTGTGCGTGGTATGGACAAAGCGTGGGATAGCAATAGGGCAACAATTTCTACGGGGGATTAGAAAGCGACTAGACGAGGTGAAGAAAGGCAGATAGTTTACTACAATTTTATTTACAGCTAGAGCCGGGACAGACAGAGGCCCAACTGCTCTTAACATAGGAACACCTGGCGCATTACACACTAAACTACTTAGCTGGAGGAGAGATGCCTCCAGTGGGCAGTGGGCAGTGGCCACTTTAGTTGAACAAGTCGAGCTCCAGGTCGGCCGCTGCGTGCGCTTTGCCGCCCACGCCCGCAATGGCCACCGATTCCGGATTGAAGTACACATTTGTGGGCACACCCTTCTTGAGCAGCGCCCTGGAGATGGGCGTGGATATGGCTGTGCCGCCATTGCCAACGACTGCCTTGGAGTGCGGCTCTAGTATAAGCGCCGCCTGCTTGCGTCCCTGTATGGCCTGCGCCCGAATGGGACTATAGGGCAGGAAATAGCTGCCGAAGGGTATCTGTGGAAAATTGCTTGAGCTGCTGCTGGTGCGTCCCGTGGCTTCCACTTTGACTGGTGGCGAACGCAGTTTGCCACTGCCCTTGCGCAGCTTGACGGCTGTTGCCTTCTTCAACTGTTGCTTGGCGGAGCGAGCGCCACCTGTGACCTGGCTGCTGGACGACAGCACATGCTTGCCCGGCACGGCCACAATCTCTTCTATCACATAGTCCGAATTGATTCGGCTAACGGCTGCGCGCAGGCGTGTATCGCTTTTTAGATCGCCGTCGGTTTGTGTATTCGCTCGCAGCTTTTGCAATGTTTCAATGGTGTCTTCCTCTTCTTCTTCTTTGACAACTTCAACATCATCTGCGGTTGCAGTCTTCGCTGTGCTAGTGGTTGTTGTACTGGGCGTTGCAGTGGATATGTCCACAGATGGCGCCACATAGGCGAGTGGCAGACTGTAGGCGGCGTAGTATGGTGTGCTTATCAGCAAAAGGTTGCCATGTGTGATGGCTTGCAGGGCGCCATAGGGCGTTAAAGTTTCAAATTGGGCTTGTTTTCCAGTTTCAGCTTCTTTGGCTGCTGTAAGTTTTTCTGGTTGCGGCTGTGTGGCTTGGTAGGCTCCATAGGGTGTCAGGACATTATCCATAGCTGCTGCAGCAGCTAACTTTTGTGCAGCCGGCTGTGACGAAGTAGGCGCCACATAGTTCACAAAAGGCTGCAGTCGACTGCGCAGTGGCCACGTCTCAACGCTTGTGGTTTGCCAGTACGTGCTCGCACTTGATTATATTGCGATTAGAATAGTTGAGTGAGGAAAAGGAGTTGTCATAGGAAATGTAAGAGAGTTGAGGATAGCCGTTAGTGTCGTAATATATACAGCTCAAATTGGGATTAGTCTTAAAGCTTATGATACCAATCAGTGCAAGCAAAGCGTTTGTTTGTGATGTTAGTGGGCGTGGCATGTCAACTATTAAATTAACATATATATACAGATGCATACAGATATGAAAGCAATGCACAAATTACAAATACAAACATTTATTACCAATACTTAGGCGCTATACAAAAATACTAACAGTCATTAGGTTTAAAATCGAACATAGCTAACGGCAGCCACGTATCTTAACTGTCTGGCAGCCCTGCAGATCGATTACTGAAAGTTATCGAACGATATCGACGCACAGGGCTGCTAAAATTGCCTAGTTGAGTTTACAGTTAAGCCGGGCTAAAGCAACTGCAACTCAGGCGTCAAATTCCTGCTCCTCCTCGTTGTCCGCGAAAAAAGTGCCTGTGGGCGGTGCATAGTAAACGGTGGGTCCAGTGGCCACCACCTTGCCCTCGCGCGGAAAACTCTTCGCCTCTACGTCTGTGCGTTGCAGTGCATCCTTTAAATCAACATCGGCAGGTATGGAAATCACTTTGGCGCCGGGGCCTGCAATCGTTAGGCTGCGCGGGTGTGTTAGGGCATAGCCGCCGGGGCCCACAATCGCTGTACCGCCGCTGCCCGCCGTAGCCACGCCTCCGGGCCCCGCAATCGCAATGCCGCCCTTGCGCACCTTCAGGCGCTGTATGATAATGCCGCCCTCGCGCAACGCCTGTTTCTGCGTGCCCTGATGGGCGGTGGCCACTGTGCCGATGGTGTTCATCAGCGGGGTGACTTTGTGCGCAAACAGATGCTTCTCCGCACCGACACTGCCATCCTGTTGCTCGGCGGCGGTGTTCTCCATTTGCTCGACGGTATCGCTGTCGCCGTCGCCAGCGCCCTCCCGCTCATCATCCCACTTGTAATCATCCTGCTGGCTATCCTGCATCGAGTCGTCACTTTGCAGGTGAGTTGTCTGTAGTGGTCCGCTCTGCAGCATAACTGGTTGGGCGGCAGCTGCGCCCGGGGAGGCAATGGGCGTGCGGAATGGCATTTTGAATATATTCTGAAAGGCGTTCTTGATCGCTGTCGAGGTCTGATTCTGCATCTCGGCCAGATTTACGTTGGGCACGCGGAAGACACTCAGTCTGTTGCGATTGGGCAGGAGTCCGCCCGCCGGTGGCAATGTGGATAACTGATCTGCTGCGCTACTGTGGCTGGGCGCAGAGGTCACCTTGATGCTGGGTGTTTGCTCCGCATCCTTTCCGCTGCCACGCAGCGGCTTGGATGTGCTGCCGACACTAATCCGCTTGCGATGGCCGTTAACATCTGGGGCGACGACGGCGGGAATGCGTGAAGGCTGTGACTGTGGCCTATTCGTGAGCTTCTCACGCGAATCCAAACGAGATTCCTTGCTGGATGTGGGCATTTTGGTCGTGCCACTTGTTGTGGTTGTGGCTGTCGGCTTGCCGCGCTTGGGCGTGCCATCCTCGTTCAAGGCCAGCTCCCTGGGCAGAAAGAACAAATGGTATTTGGGCGTTGTCTGGCCCGGCTTCTGGGCCTTCTCGTGCAGCATAGCCTTGGCCTTGCCATAGAAGCTGTCCACATCGCCAATGATCTTGTAGCCCTTGACACGATACTCCTGCGGAGCATGTTCCCTCAAATACTGCTCCTTGTTCAGCTTGTACAGATGCACGGGTATGACAAAGTGGGCGGGCAGCTGCTCTGCCTCCTGCGCGGAGCTGGGCTGTGGCAGCTGCACCTGATTGGGGCGGAAATATAGTTGCTGCTGCCTCTGCTGTTCCTCCTCGCTGGACGCGCTACTTGGGCTTGTGCGTAGCTTGGGCGGCACATTATATGAATCCGAGACATGTCTTGTCAACTTGACAGCGCGTATGGAGGGCTCCAGCAGTGTCTGGCCATTGCTGCCCGCGAAATGATGCTGCTGGGCGTGGAAGGGCTGTTGGGCGGGCTTGGGGAACAGATACTGACTGGAGTCGAGTATGGGCGGCAGCTTTGGCTGATCTGGCCTCTTCTTCACATAGCCAAAGGCCTCGTTCACCTTGGCAATCTGGTCGAGTATGCGCTTGGCCTCGTCCGCTTTGTCAGACGTTGGCGGCGCCACATTCGGATCAAACTCCTCGGGAAATTTGACCAGCCTTTGCTTTTGTATTCTGCAAACGAAAGTTAGGTTTGTTTTTGGTCTCTATTCGTATTGGTATTATTAGTAAACTAATGCTGTTGGGATTAGGAGTTTGCTATGTACTGATAATATGAGAGGCTTAGTCACAGTTTATTATTTTTAATTTTAATATTTTTAGTCACAATACAAAGCCGCGTGCTGCAACTTCTACTAGGCGAGCATTAAGTTGTGGCTAGGCAAGGCAAGGCAAGGCAGGGCAAGGCAGTTGGTTAATAGAAATTTCTTATAGAGTTGAGCTACTTACTCGATGCCATCTGAAGCTTGGCCAGCGACCAAAGAGGCCAGCAAAAGCGTTGTCAGCTGCAAGAAAAATGCGTTTATTAAATCAGGCGACATAGTTCGAGTGCCTAAATATACTAGCTGCATATGTCAAGGTCTAAGAATGCGGTCAAGCACTTAATTTATGAGAAACTCGTCTACGCTTCAGCTGAAAAGTGAGAGCCAAGCCCATTTATCCATACTATTTTCAGCTTTTCACTTCAGCATAATTTTCTCAAGAGCCCGAAACAGAACCAGAACCAGAACCACAAAACCCAAACACAGCTCGTGTTCAGGCAAATATTTGCTCGCTTCTTTTGCAAATCAATATTGACGCAACAATATCTCTGCCGGAGCTGCCCGACTCCGACTGCCCGACTGCCAGCTGGACCGTTAGCTTGTCACCCGCTAAACAGTCACGGCCAGAGTCACGGCTCGTCCGTCTGTCAAAAGCCGCAATGTCACTGAGCTCCACAGAGCGGCGCCGGAGTCGCGTGTCATTGACCCAGCAGCGACAAACATTTCTCATATATTCCGCCTAAGCGATCTTTTTTTCTTCTTTTTTTTACCAAGAACGAGCTCTGGACCAGCTGGTAAGAATTTGTGTATTTGCAAGTTTGGCTTGCATTCAGCGGCCCTGTTTGTCTTTGCTTTCTTTTGGCTCTGGTTTATTTATTATACATATTATTTGGTTTGTTCTGGGCGTGTTTCAACCATATGCAAACTGGGTTAATTGCGTGAGAGAAAGAGCGAGAGAGAGAGTGAGTGGGAAGTTAACTCAAAATGCAAATGATTTAAATAGAATTCTTAAGTTTAGCTGCTGGCTAAGAGCTGCAGCTGAAGTTGTGCTAACAAATCTCTTAAATTAAGGCTGATTAATGATATTTGGAGAAGGCAGGGCCAAACGTAAAAGTCTCTTGATTTATGTTGTGCAATCGAAAGCCAAGCATTTTTATTACTCTGCTGCGTGCTTTAGTTTTATGGATCTATAATAGAGAGCTGTATTCTTCTCGGATATAACAAAGTATACCCTTGTTAGGCTGCTTCGATAGTTTCTAGTGTTAAATAATTAATTTCGAAGAACTATATTTCACTGTCATTTATCATCGGCTCGTATGGAAGAGCCTAGCCTACGCTTATGGCATATTGATTTTATATATTCTTCGTAATTAAAATATTTTTTGGGCTTTTCATTCGCTTATTAAATATTCATTTTGTTGTACTCTTAATTTTGTCATGCCTGCGAGCGGATGCTGACGCACTTGTACTTTAAAGGGCGTGTTTTTTATTGATTGAAACAGAACATGAATAATGCAGTGCGTAATAAGAAGAAGTCTGGAAGAAGTGTGTGCTTTGAAGACGTGTTCATTAATTTTCACTTTTCATTACAAGCACACAAAATAGCCACACGTATTTTCCATGGAAATTAGCATATATCAAAGCATTTATTCAATTAAAAAAAACTCGTTGATTTCAATGCTCTTAAATAGCTGATTTATGGAGTTAAGCTTCCATTTTTCCTCTTTTTATTCAGCTAGCAAATTGGTTTCTGATGAGCCGTATAAGGCGTAAGCTTGGAGCGTGTTTTGTGCGACAGATTTGCATATGGGCCCAAATGAAATTCAGGCTAATTTCACAGCTCACAAATGTGGCAAAAGAATCTGGCGAAAAGAACCAACCAATTCGCGCAGTGAAAGTTGAGTTTCAGTCTGAGTTGGAACGTAAAAGCAAATTAAATACGAAAGACTTAAGGCACGAACTTGCGCCAGTTAATGACTTCAACGGCAGCCAACGCTAATAAATGATTAATTGCGGTCACATACAGCACAAAAAGAAAAACTAAACTAGTTTTTTTTTGGATTGTACTTTAAATAAGTCAATTTTTGGTTTTTGGTATTTCTTTTGGTACTTACAACAATGAGACGCATTTTTGCGCGTAGTTTTCTGTTGATAATTTTGAGAATGCTTTTCGTTGTCAACGCAACCTTGGAATATATCCTTGAACTGCGAACGAGACAAAAGGCGATATGTTATCACGCGTAGAATCGTGCTGAAAGCGGACACAATACACACACACACACAAGCTAAATGCCAATCCTGATGAGTTGTAAAGTTTAATTGTTTTTTATTGAAATATTATTATTGTTGCTTGCTGCAGAGCACAACAGGCTTAAGGAGCACACACACAGAGACACGCACTAAGCTTCCGAACTGAAGCTGAAACACTTGACGCACCTCTAGAACCCAACGAGGCAACGACTGAAGATTAACTGATTCGTGCCCGTGCCCAGCGCGGCTGTTTTATAACATTTCCATTAGCCGACGGCCCCAAAGAAATGTCAAACCTGACCGAGGGCAGTTGTAAGCGGGAGAGAGCAACAGAGCGAGCGAGAGACAGAGAGGCAGCGATTGCCGCGCGAGTGAGAGCGTGCGTGCAAGAGCAACAGCTTAAGAGAAACTCGCGTTTGGGGGGCACGTACGCATGCGCCTTGGCTGGGTCTTATCAATTGGCAGGCATCTGTCTTGTCCCGCCAGTTGCGGTACTCTTTCCCTATATCGCACCTGGCCAAACCCACCCGAAATTGACATTCACGATTAACTGGACTGATTCAAATCTTGTCTACATTAGATGAGCATAACTAAAGCACGTTTTTTTGCACAGTTTTCGGATATCTATTGTTTTGTTTTGTTTAGTTTTTTTGTAGCCTGGGAATTGTTGACAGTAGAGCATCAAGTGCTACTGTTCAGTCGCTCTGACATTGATTAATTAATTGTTCGCCAATAGGTTTGATTGAGTGAGCAGCATCTGCTGGGACAGGCCCAATTACATGTGAAGTGAGCCGAACAGAACGAAAGACTTAAGACACGAACGCGCGTGGGCAGGCAGGCAAGACATAGGGGCTAAGCAGAACAAATTGGCTTGACGCTGCGAAAACGAATCTTAAATTGAAACATAAGCCGAATTATATATATGCATATAGATATATATACATACAAAAGACTTAAGACACGAACTCGATTATGGTTCAATGAATGAACGCCGCAGTTAATTGACAAAATGTTTGTTGTCAGCGAGAGTAATATTTAAATTTAGCCCACTTTCAATGTAGAACATGTTAGAAAGTTTTGTGTCCTCAGTCGCTGGGATTCTATGTGTGCGCCCTTAATTCATTTACAACGCGAAGCTCTTAAATTTCCAGTGAACGAATGTCAGATTTGCGTATAAGTCCAGAACCTATCAAGTTTGCAGCTTAAGCAGATTTGTTGGCAGCCTCAAAGACTCACCTAAATAACTCTACACATTAACTGCACCACGGGCGCTGCCTCTTTAAAATCCCGGTGTTCAGTTGTGCTTTTATTGCTGTTAATTAACCGCTCTTTAGGACTATTTTTAGAATGCCTAACTAGCTGCCGCTTGCGAACTTTCATGTTGTTATTATTTAGCTTTTGGATAGTGGAGCGCCAGAAGATTTATGGTTTCAGTTGGGTTAATGGTGGCCCGAGTGCAGGGGCGCATACAAAATGAACAGCGAAAACCCAAACTGTGGACTGAGGCACACTTTGAATGGCATTAATCGAAAGTCGACAAATCGATGCAGCAACAACAGCAACAAAAATACAGCTAGGACTGGCAGGCCAGGCATGCGCCAAAGAGTGCAACTGTATTCGAAACCTTGAAACCTATTTATATAAATATACAACGGCATACGGAACTGGGGCCTGGTGTTGGCTTTGGTGTTGAGTTCATGCTGCCTTTGCCTATGCCTGGACAATTAAGTGCGACCTTCACTGGGTGCATCAGGAACAGAATCGTCAGAATGAAGGCACATAACTGGATCTCTCTGCGTCTCTCTATCTCTTCCTCTCTCTCTCTCTCTCAGTCTCTGGAGCTGGCATTGTTCTGTGCGCTTGCACTATAATGAAAAACTTTAATGCAGATGGCATTGCCTATGCAATTATGCCAGCCCAATTATGCAGCTGGGCTGGCCTGGCCTCAGCCAGTTCCCAGGCCAAACCGATGCGTGGCCTAGACCAAATGTATGCTCTCTTGGCTGAGAACTTGCGCTGTGAAATGGCTCAAAAATGCGTTAGATTCGTGTCAAACCTTTTTTTTATTCGCTGTACTTAAATAAATCCAGTCTAATAGAAAGTTGTCGAGCGCTGCAAATGAAAACTTCTTAAGCTTATTTTATGGTCAAACATTTAATGTCCAGAGTGAAACTTTGCCTTGCCTAGCCATGAAAAGGTTGCGACAATCTTTTGAATAATTTTGCTAAAAACTTTAAAATGAAAACAACACAAAAATACCATAAACTTATTATTTATTAGCCTCTGCTGCGTTGTTGTTATCATTATATTTTAGTTTTTTTTTTTTTTTTGTACTTTGCACTGTTTTCTTATTTAGGGCACGCGGCTGACGCCAAGGCTCAACGTTCGATTCAAATTATTTGGCAAGTTCGGGCACGCAGCGCACATTTCAAATTTTAAGCGCGCGCCTCCCCCGAAATATAAGAAATACGAGCCACAAAACAAAGTTTAACTTCAGTCGGTCAGGTTGGGATGCAACTGGCCCGGTAGCATAACAAATTCGGTAATTGTTTAACTATTTTGTCAGCCACAACAACAACAAAACCATTTAATGTTTCGCAGCAAATCAATTAGGCATTATAAAATGCATAAATCGTTTTAGGTATGGGTACACAGCACGCGCCACGATTATTCATTTATCCAAATTAGTTTTATATGGCAATAGCTCGTTGTAAATTATATTCCTACATTCCACAGCTCAGCACAAAACTTGAGAGTTTTTTTTAATATCGTGTTGTGCATGATTTGCCGCTTAAACTCTTGATTTTAAACACATTTTTGGGCTTTATATTATTACAACTATTTTACAGTTCGTGTCTTCAAAGTTTTTAATAAATATTTTACTGGGAAATGAATACTTACTCACTTTCGTAACTATTTCGTAAAATATATAGAATCATTTTTGGCTGTCATAATTAGTTATAAATGTCATCTTTAATCATATTTTGTTAAATCAAAATATAATATATTTATAATCTATCATAACTTAATACACTTAACATATGCCTAAAGGGCTTGCAGATCGAAGTCAGAAAATATCTTGGAAAACTGAATATTTTATCAGACAAAAAAAGCATTTCTCGAACGATTCTTCTATATGGTTCTATATAATATAGTAGTGCGATATTGATAAGACTTTGCTCATATTAACTAATAAATAAATAAATATCTTTTATTGATAAAAAAAGTTGCCATCAAGAACCTACTTTCGTCCGATCATTCCTATGTCCGCTATATAATATAGTAGTCCGACTCGGTCGGTTCTAATATGTGTACTGACTGCAACAGAAAAACGGACCAATGCAAAGATTCAAGAGGATAGTTTTAAAACTGAGAGACTAGTTCGCAAAGAAACAGACTGACGGACGGACGAACGGCAGAGGCTCATGTCCATATCAACTCGACTCTTGATATTGACATAGAATATATATGCTTTATGGGATCGGAGATGTCCTCTTCTATGCGTTACACACTTCATGGCAAAATTATAATACCCCTTACAAGTGTATACACAGTATAAGAAAGTGTATCACAAAAAATGCAACTTCTTAAGATGCCAAATCCATAGAAAATCCATAAAAAATCTAAATTTAATGCTACTTCAACTTCTGCAAAACTAACTAGATTACATTTGAAGCTTGATTCAAGCAAACATAAAAATGTACTTTGAAATCGTACGCAAGTATTATTTATGTTCCGCTTTAGTTGAGCTGCCAGATCACGTAGTTTTTGAGCTAATTTCGAGCTAGTTGGAAAGTCCTTCAAACGGACGAATTGGAAATCAAGCACAAGTTGAAGGAAGTGTCAAAAAATCAGACAAATGCAGTTGATTTTATTGTCTAAGAAATTGATCAATAACTATGCAAGTTGGCAACTCGTTGACTATGCGCTTGTTCCGTTGGCTTTGCCAAATTGCCGCCCATGACCACGAATCCAATGCCAGCGCCAGCCTTATAGCTGAGCTCGTGATAGCCAGCGTCATCGCAGTACGAATACTTGCCCAGCACAATGCCAGAGTCATCCGTGTGCTGCGTATGCGACATGTGCTGCGTGCTAAAGTCAATACCAAGGGGCTGGTGCTGAGGTGCAGGAGGAGGTGCAGGAGGCGGCGGAGCGGGCGGTCCACGTTGTGGTTGCACCCAACCCCATGGCTGATTGCTGTGGGAGATGCGATTCCGGAAATTGCTGGCAGCCAATTGATGAGATCTGGGCGGTGACTGCTGCCCGGGCAGCTCATAGTTGGGCGACAGATCGCTAACTCGGACAGCTGCGTCCGTATTGTAGGCGTACTTCTGGCCATTGAACTCCATGTAAACCTGCGCAGATTGCGCCGCACACAGGCAGCAGCCCAGCAAGAGCAGCAACTGCAACCGGCGACAGCTCATCCTAAAGACTGAAACCAAAGCAAGACCAAACTTTGTTTAAATCAGCAGCCGACCGCAATCTGTGCGCGGCATCGATGTCAGCCACTTGTGGAGCAGGTATTGAAGGTGTATACATGTATTTAGCATAAATAGGGTTACAGTTACGGCTGAAGTCGGGCCCGACCGCAGTTGACACCGATTCAGTTAACTTAGTTGCGAGCGCTTACTTAACTACAACTACAACTATTAGCTAGGGCTAGGGCCAGGGATCGCTGTCTAGTGCTCCCTGGAGGCGGCCAGCTCGGCCATCTCGTCCTGGCGCAACGCCTCCGATGGCGACAACGTGATGCGACCGCCCAGCGGCAATATGTCAATGTTCTGGACATGGGCGCGCACACTCTGTCCGGGCGGCAGGCCCACATACCATTTGCCCACATTCTTGATGACCGTCGAGTCGCGATGGCGCTGCACCCATTCCCGATCCCGATCGATTTCCAATATACGATGATTGGCGGTCACCAGCGGCGGCAGCGAGCTGCCCACATCGTCGTCGTTCAGATTGTAATTGTCGCCCGGACCGCTGGCCGAGCCGCTTGTGCCGCCCGCCTCCGCGGAAGTGGCTCCGCCTCCGCCAACGCCACCGCCACTAAACCTGTTGCGATTCCGTGTGCCGCTGGCATTGAGGCGAGTCGTGCTGCTGCCAGTTCGCGTGCCGCCGCGATTCCTACTGCTTGAGGCGCTGCTCGAGGAGCTGCTCTCTCTGTACCCACCTCCTCCTCCTCCTCCTCCTCCTCCTCCTCCTCCTCCTCCTCCTCCGCCGCCGCCGCCGACGCCGCCTCCTCTTCCCCCACCACCTGCCCCGTCGTATCTGGTGCTGCCACGCTGCGAGCTGCCCGCCGCATAGCCTCGTCGATCCTCTTTGCCACGATCAGCCGCTGAGGAGCTGCTCGAGCTGCTGATTAGTCCACCGTCATCGTCATCTCCGTCGTTGTCCACACCATTGCCCTGTTTCCTGACATCTACTTTTTCCTTATCGCCTTCTTCTCCAGCCCTGCCCCCAGTTCCTGTCTTTAGGTAGTCCGTATCACCGGCACGCCCCCTGCCTGCACCGCCCCCACTTGGCCCGGAGCCTGCCCCACTGTTGGCCGTGCTGCCACTGCCGCTGGCTGCACCCAGGCTGCCGCCGGCGCCCCGACCAAAGTCATTCGCCAGTCGGAAATCCGTATCGCTCAGTCGAAAATCCGCTACGGAGGGATTTATGTGAGTGCCGGGTCCGACGCGATTGTTGACGACCCTGTAGCCAATGCCCGCGCCAGCTATGTACTCGACGGTGCGCTGTACGCCCTTGTCGTCCAGGAAGGAGTAAGTGCCGCGCACCAGGCCATCAGAGCCGCGGCTCTCGGCGCGTCGATGATCCGGGCCAGCGGCAATCAGCTTGTAGGTGCCCGCGGGGCCGCGTTGCACGGACATCTTGCCACGCGTCTTGGGATGTGCCTTGTACAGCGGTCCGGAGTATCCGACGCTGGCGGGATTGTCGGGCACGGCATTGGAAATCTCAAAGCCGGTGCCAGCGCCGGCAGCATAACGCACGCTGTGCCGCTCGCCCACATCGTCCAGATAGGAGTAGAGACCTGGATGGACAAGGCACAGGAAATATGATCAGTAGAATCCAGTTGAAGCTGTTGGCTACCCACCTCTAATTCTGTTCGTGGCATCGTTCTCCTCGCTGCGCGACTGATCCGGCGTGCGGAAGCTGAAGCTGTAGGAGGGATCATCGTAGGGATCCGCAAGCGGATCATCGGGACTGCCGCGTGGACGCACCGGATACTGTGCCAAATCCATTTTGCGATGTATTTTCGGCCCATTCACGCGAAAGCTGTGCGAAAGCAAGTGGCGATCAATTAGCTGCGTTGCCATGATTACGGCTAATTGCTCCGCCTCTGGGAACTAATCAACGCCCAACGCCTCGTTCTGGGGATTGGGTAACCCAGCCGGCTGTTAAAATCGCTCGCCTGCCGCCCATATCTGATGATCTCGCACGTCATCAATTTGATTACTATTGCCACAGATGCCGCACGCTCTGTCGTCTACCATTCAAAAATTAAACTACTTTTATCTAACGCTGTGCATCTTAATGAATTTTCCGAGTGCCATGTTTCACTTACAATTTGTTAACTGCTTTTTTTGTTTGTTTCTTTTCTCAACTACCGGAGATTGCAAAAAAAAAAAAAACAAAAACAAACAGTTGAAATTGAAGCGAGATGGCAAAAACAAACGTTTAGGCAACAAAAACAGCCCCCGCTTCCTCCACTTGCCTCCGGCTGCCTCCCGCTGGGCATGTGTTAGAACCGTTTCGACTTCAACTTTGACTGTGAGATCGTCCCCCCCTCAACTCACCCCCTCCTACGCGCGTAACGCCTGAGTGGCGCGGCTTCTTGGGTCTGTCGTAGCGCTGATATATGAGCTCGCCGGAAGGCGGACCGAACCGATAACTCACTTTGCTACCGCACTTTACCCAACTACCTGCGGCTAACTCTTCGGCTAACGTGGCCAACTGTTTTTGTTCGGCTTACTCACCCACGTGGTCCGGCCGTATAGACGGTCTCTTCGATCTGGCCGCTCGCTGGACTACGCGAACCATAACGACCTCGCACGATGTTGTCTGGAGTGCCGGAGGCGCTATGATAGTAGCCGCCAATGTCATCATTTGCATGTCTATCCAAAGAGTAATTGCGTGTTGCCCATGCGTGGTAAGACACAGAGAGAGAGAGGGAGACAAAGAGAGAGAGAGGGAGAGATAAATACACACAGTAAACAGTTAGTCAGCATTCGTGTTGGCGGCGCGGGGGGCGTATACGTGTTGTGGGTTTTGTTGCCATTGCAAAATGGCATTAAAATAGGTGTTAAATGCGGCAAAGGAGCCAGAGCGTGATGCGCACTTTTGTTGTTATTCAGGTGTTTAAAACCTAGTTGATTAAATTATTTATTTTAATTATAATTAAAACGTTTACTAAGCATATGAAAATCTAGTTAGAACTTAAAGCACATTTAATTGATTGATTAACTGCGGCTGCCTCGAGAATTCTAGCATAGAGCATTGTCTGTTAATTCAACGAATCTTTGCACAGATCAATCTTTATAACAAGTAGCCTAAGGCAAAGCCTTCATAAGCCTCCAAGGACGAATTCCAGAGATTCGCCTCTTGATTTAACCTTTGTCTGGCTTTTCATTTCAGTCCGTTCTTTTGTATAGCCCGCTCTAGCCTAGCCTCCTGTTCTTTTAAAAGATTGAATTAAAAAGAACATATTGAAAAGAAATAAATTTCTTATTAAAAATAAAATAAATTACAAAACAATAAATAATATAATAGAAAATCTAGCTGTGTTCCAGTCTTCTGTTCATTTTCTCTTTATCTTTTTTCTATGATATATATTTAAAATTCGTATTGATCAGATCGATCCATTTGCCATCCTTTGCCATTTCTCTTTCATCTGAGTAAACAAGTCATTTAGATATTTGAAAAAGAAGGACACTGGATCGAATCTCCGCCTAGTGTCAGGCTCTAGTTTTTGTCTTAGCCGAAGACCAATATTTGCCACTTTGCAACTATATTCTATATTTTAGTATTTATTCTAGACTTATAAAAATAAAAACAATAATATTTTTACTGTCTTCTTAACCAAAGGCATATTTGTTAGATTTTTTTGCTCCACAGTAATTTTTTGCATAGGTATTTATAAAGTTCATATTTTAAGCTCGTATTTAAATGCAGCTACTGTCATGATGTGATTAATTATAGAACTGAACAGTTATAATCTTTACTAAAATGTGTCCTTTTTAAATCCTTCACAATTAAAAATTTTGTTTGTTAAGCTTTTTTATTGCTGTGCTTTTCATCAAGCAAAGCCTTTTTAATTTAGCAACACTTTGTTGAATCTTTATTATAATTTACACCAAGTCTGTTCACAATTAAAGCTTCAAAAATTATACCGAAATTGAAACGATCCATCCGCATTAATGGTATTATATTCGATTTCGGCAAGGACGGGATCACCAAGTTGGCCAAATGCAGCGCATAAAAGCCAAAGCAGGCGCAACATTTCCATAAATTCTCAATTTAAATGCCTGGGCTAAACGACTTTTGTCTGTCCAATTAGAAGCGCATCCTGCACACACACACACACACACACACACAGACACAGCTACAGGCAACTAGCAGTATAGTGGACACACGTATCGATAGGCAGATAGGCAATGCACAAACGGATCACGGAATCGAAGCGTTTGGCTGGCGGCAAGAACAACGCGGCGACTGAGCTGGCGACTGAATGCGCCCAAGCGTTAGACCTTCGTATTTAAATACGATTCTCAGGCGAGTCAGCGAACGGTGGCCAGCTTTTCAGTTCGGCTCGGTAGCAGCAGCAGCAGCAGCAGCAGAAGCAGCGGCAGCAGCTGCCACTTGTCTCACCTGACCACCCACCAAAGTGGCAACCACGAAGATGAAACAACATTTGTGTGCAAATTGCGTTACAAGAGAAGTTCAGCGAGCGAGCGAGCGAGAAAGAGAGAGAGAGAGAGAGAGACAGAGAGGGGCAGGTGAGAGAATTTGTTCTAATGATGGACACGCAAGTGACTGTTTGTTGTTCTAGCTGCATGCTGCACGCTGCACGTTGCGCCATGGCTAACAATGTTTGGCGTCCGACTGGACGGGCTCCTTGTTCAGTAAATTGCAAACAGAACAGGAGTGGAAAAAGTCGTGGCTACCAACAGCAGCAGCGGCGGCAGCTGTCTGTCAATTAGTTGAAGCTGTTTTTGTTGCTGCTGTCGTCGTGTTTCGCTTCCTGTTCCAGCCGCATTGTTGACAATTTTCCAGCGCGTGATCTATGACACCGAGCGAATTTCCTGTGCATTGAACTCTCGTGCGGCAATTACCAATGCGACACGCCCCCATTCAAAATCTAACAGCAGCAGGCACCGTTAACCGCCCCCCATCATCATCATCGTCATCATCATCGTCAGCTTTGGCTATTATAAATTTGCTGCGCTCCGGAGTCTAGGTCAGTGTCTTAGCTGCAATTTGGTTTGTCTTGGCCGCGCTGCATTATGCAATTAAAGGCAATTACGCGGCGGCCGAGGAAGAGTTTGCTGTTCTCTGTTCTCCGTTCTCGCAGCCGCCACAATTTCCGCCTAGGATGTGGCCCAAAAGTTTTCCAACCTTTTTAATGAGCCCAATTAGCGAGTGCAGAAAACAGCCAGCCCAGGCCAGGCCCGGCCAGGTTATTGGCCATTGTTCTCGTCTTACAATGAGCAGCAGAAAATATGTCAAACATTTTGATTAGAACATTGAGCTGTGGGCGCAGCTAAAACGAAAGACTTAAGCCACAAACTTGCCCATCGCTTGGCTGCCTTTGATTTATCTGACCTGTGTGTGTGCTTTATGACTACCGTATATGAAAATGAATATCATATTTTGATTTTATTTACTTAACGATAGTTAATATGCTAATTTTTTTAGATTAAAGAGCAGCACCCAAAAAAAATGCGGAAGACTTTTGGCCTATTGTGCAGCCAAATGGAGCAGGGATGAGACATTGAAATGGAATGAAATTAAGTGAAGTTTTATATGTGAAACATTGAAATGAAATGAAATGAAATGTGATATGTGAAACATTGAAATGGAATGAAATCCAATGAAATGTGATATGTGAAACATTGAAATGAAATGAAATGTGATATGTAAAGCATTAAAATGAAATGAAATGAATTGTGATATGTAAAACATTGAAATAAAATGTGATATGTGAAACATTGAAATGGAATGAAATGAAATGAAATGTGATATGTGAAACATTGAAATGAAATGAAATGAAATGAAATGAAATGTGATATGTGAAACATTGAAATGGAATGAAATCCAATGAAATGTGATATGTGAAACATTGAAATGAAATGAAATGTGATATGTAAAGCATTAAAATGAAATGAAATGAATTGTGATATGTAAAACATTGAAATGAAATGTGATATGTGAAACATTGAAATAGAATAAAATGAAATGTACTGAAATTAAATGTGATATGTGCAGATATGTGACAGTGGAATTGAAACAAGCGACGCCACTGGCACAATTGAATTGTATTATTAAACGTAAGGACAAGTTTCTGACTGGCTGACTTGGAGGCAATTGCACGCATGGGAAATGTGCAACCAGTTGTTGTTGTTGTTGTTGTTGTTGCTGTTGCCATTGAACCACATACCCATAGAGCGCAAAACTGGAAATTCATATGCGTTTTCACTGCCAACAACGGCCAGAAAACGGCGAGCTGGAGATGAAGGCCATCAGCACCGGCAAAATCCTGCCATTTTGATGGAAAGTGAAATTGCTTTCGTTTTCATTTGAAAACTTTGCCAAACGCCATTCAATTGACGGTGGCCCAGGCGTGCAGTTCGTAACGAGCGCATCAATCAAAATGAAAATTACACAACTTTTGCATATTTTCTTGTGTGTTATCACATCAATGGCTGACATGGGCGTTGGGTCGAAGAAGGCGCGCTGCTTGAATCCGCCGCGCACCGCCAGGCGCGTCGAGTCCGTCATTCGGGACTGCCAGGAGGAGGTCAAGAACAAGCTGGTCAATGGTAAATGGTCTCTGAGCTGCCGCAGTGCAACATTTCGACATGAAAATTCGTCTAACTGCAGAGGCATACCAGATACTCAAGGAGCAGGTGCAGCAGGAGCAGCCCACACTCCATGCCGACGACGGCGTGGAGTTCATTGAGTCGCTCCAGTGGCCACCCGTGCCCAGCGGAATTATGCTGCAGCAGGCGAACCACGAGGTGCCACCCAATGTCAGTCAGTATGAGTACATTGTCTATGATAAGCCGGAGCCCAGGCGTCGCATGGCTCGTCTGGTGCGCAGCCTCAAGCGTATGGATGTGGCCAGTGCGGGCATCTATCACCCGACGCTGGTGCCGCTGGAAGACAAGCGCATTGCGGGCGTAAGTAGCTCCAAACAGACTCCCCAGAATCGCCTCCAAAAAATGTGCAGTACAGCTGCAATTAAGTTCAATGGCAGGCCGGAGAGGTGCAACAAACGCTGCGCCGACTTTGGGCTGTGCCACGCCACCTGCCATTAATTTGGCGTGTGCAATTAAAAACACCTCAGAATGTAGTAGTCGGGCCTAACCGACTATGCAATACTCTGTTGATTGTCGGAAGACAGCTTAAAAGTCTCGGATAGAGGTGACTCTCTGGTGACTCTAAGACTGTGAGTCTAACGCAGTGGCTTTCAAACGTCGTGACTAGGAATTATCGCTTTTGTGCAATGTGTGGGAATGGAGGTTCAAATGCTCAAGTGACTCTAAGACTGTGAGTCCAACGCAATGACTTTCAAACTGTGTGACTAGGAATTATTGCCTTTCATTATGTGGGAATGTAGGCTCAAATCTGAAAGTGTCTCTAAGACTGTAAACCCAAAGCAATAGCTTTCTCTACTGTTTTACTTTGGGATATCACGTGGTGACTGTAAAACTATAGGCCAGCGGTGGCTTTTAAACTGTATAGAAACTCTAATTGGCGGGGAAGCTTTAGGAGAATCAGAGACTTTCGAACTGTGACTGGGAAATATGGAATTCTGCAGCTTATGAGGACCTCTGCTGGCCAAGTCTCCACGGTCAGCTAGATGAAACCCAATATACCATGCTTCGCTTTGTGAACAGAGTATACAAAACGCACCGCACCTCCCCTCGCCCAATGCAAAAGTCAGGGCTGCGATTATTTCGAGACAATTGAAAGAAAAGCGCAGTTGCCGTTGCAGTCGCAGTCACAAGTGCATTTTTTTTCACACACAAAAAGCCACGTTTTATGACTGAAAAGTGCATTTTATGTTTGCATTTAATACACATTAACTGCTTTTTATGCATCAGTAAATTGAATGCCCCTTACGAATACATTTTTGATTGTTTTTTTTTTTATGTTTTTGGTTTTTGTTTTCTGTGGCCATTTTCAGTGTCTGCTGCACTGCGTCTATGCGAGGAACAACGCCATTGACAAGAATGGCTGGCCCACACTGGACGGCCTGGTCGGCTTTTATTCGGAGGGTGTTCACGAGCACGGTTTCTTTATGGCCACATTACGTTCGGTTAATCTCTGTCTGCGGGCCATGACCACCAAATACCAAGTAAATCGCCGGCAGCTGCCGCAGAAAGGCGAAAGCTGTGATTTGGCATTTGATGTGTTCGACTGCATATCGGATCAGATAACAGGCTATTGCCTGGATCAATATAGCAGATATTAAGTGGGGCTATAATAAAAACATTATTATTTATTGTTGGTTAAAGTCTTGTCTCACTTTAAACTGTATTCGCGCCATCTATTGTATGTTTTTTCAACCAAGCAGTGATTATAGAAATCTGCCTAAAGATGGCGCCACACTGCTTTGTTTGCCGCAGAGATGTCACCCGATGCAATTTTTAGACGATTGTTGTATCTGTAAAGCGCATAAATATTTATTTTGAACTAAACGCTATTATTTTAAATGAAATTCAGAGTGTATATATTGTATACATATATAAAGCGTTTGCTTGGGAGTACAAGTTATACAAAGGGCGCCAATTATTCAAATGAAGTACAGTGTGGCCGTTTTTCTAGTATTAAATCGATATATTTTCATGCGGTATAAATCATATAAACTGCTTACGGTCACTTTGGGCCGCGAGTTGGAACGCGAGTTTGGAGTTGGAGCGCACGGAAAAAGTAATAATTTTAATTATTAACACAGTGTAAATAACTAGTATACAATGCAATACATTATTATAGTTGTACTACTGTTTCATATAGCAGGTGCTTTAAGTACATTTTCAATTAAGATTCAAATATGGCCATCTTCCAATTGAGGTCAAATTCGTGAAATAACTGTAAAACTACAACTACTTTAAAAAATATTTGCTGTAAACGCGTAAACCCAGTGAAAACTAAAGAAAAACACTCAGTTTCAAGTGCAATGTTGCAGCTTAAATAACAATTTTCCTTGGCCCTCAATTTGATGGCTTATATAATGCAAGTGGGCGTCTGCTTAATGCGCCTGCGCTTGCCTGAGATCTAGAAAAGTGAAATTTCTCAATTCATTAAAATTGCGTCGTCTGCTGCTGCCGGCCACGCTACGTCACATACTTTAGTAAATGTCGTTTCTGAATATTGCAATGATGACGCAATTCTGCGATTCTCCCAGTGCCGCGTGTGCTTTTTGTGTCCGTGAATCATACAACATCAGCGCTTGTGTTCGTTGTTGTTGTCATTGCTTCGTTTCTGCGTAAAGAGCGGCCGCATTGCCAGCATTTTTGTATTCCGAAAGTTCCCCTAAGTTTGAGATGCGCAACAATGCTGTGATATTCTCTAGCTGTCACTGTTGATTGAGCAACAGGTATCGCGCCCAGTACAGTGACTAGTCACAACCAAGTCACAGACTCAACTCTAGTTGTTGCTGCTCAATGAACGCACGCGGTCTTCCAAACTACAAATGCTTGTTTTCATGTGTGTGTGAATGTGTGTCGTCCACTTCAACTGAAGTTGTTTTTGCATTTTCGATTTCTTCTTTTGTAGTCTCCACAGCACTGTTTTCCTGTGGCATTTGGGGGCTCGTCTAGTCTCCACATGCGGCTGCAGCTGCAGTTGGCCTACCCAAACTGGTTTGTGTCATGGCTAATTGGAATTTTTGCCCATTTCCAATAGAGCAGCTGATAAATTGCGCGTGTTTGAACTTGAAATTGATATTGATTAGCAAGTCCGGCAATACATATTTGAGTATGAATGTGTGTATAACCTGTCCTGAGTCATATGCCTGCATAATTGAAAGCTCTCTCTTCTCTTTCACACACGCCGTGTGGGCGGCACATTTAAAAAGCAATGACGAAGACTGCAAAATTTAATTTGACTTTGAAATGGTTGTAAACCAAATATCCGTAGCCTAAACATACACAGACATACATAAGCAGGCACGTCTGTAAAATAAATGATAACCGCAAAAAGTACGATAAGTGATTGTTATCAGTATGCGCTTGGCCCCTTTTGCTCAGCTCACACACACACACATATGTACATATGGCTATCTAGCCAAGTATCTCAGCACAATGTATATTGTGCGTTGTCATGTGCCTTTTTATCGCACATTTTGTTTTTCTAACGTTCCGTTCAACGTACACGAAACAAAAGCAACAACAAAACTAATTCGATTTCTAAAAAAAAAAAACAAAAAATGTGTATTGTTTTGTGTATTTTTTATATTTTCTACTCTCAACGCTGCACACAAACGTTCGACCGTTCGGGGTCGGGTAATCTTTCGTGTGCTCTGCGCCGCAACGTTCAGTCGACGCGTAGCACTCAACACGAACAAACCGTTTGGCAGCGTATCTGTAAGATACGACGTGACGAGTACATATATTCGGTTCGTTTTTCCAAAAGCAACTATTTAAGTTATGCACAGTTTTTGGGGGCAGTGCAGTAATAAAATTATTTGTAAAATTCCAAGCAAATTGTCTGAAAGCCCTCGTATGGCAATTGCCAATCGGAAATGTGGCATTAAATTGTCATTAAAACAGAAAAATAATCTTAATTGGCAAAATATATTGTTACGCTATCATCAAAAATATAAAAAAGAATTCTATAATGCTGGCCAGGAACTCTCACGCGAGTTTTTATGTTTTTTTATTTGATTTTTTGCACTTATGTAATCTGTTTTCGTAACCAATGCGCCGACGTCGACGTTGTTTGTGGGGCAGAAAAATAATTGCAAAGAAAAAAAAAAGAAAAACAGTTTGTGAGAAAAATAAAGCAAAAGAGGCAAACAGATAAATAACGGCACAAACACAAACGCAAACACAGACAGCTAAATGCTAGAAAGAGACGCAGCTATGCTACCGTCGGCCAACTAATTAAATTGAATTGTTCAATTTGTTGGTCTTGTAATCGCTGCACTTTCAAATACCCCTTTAGCCCCCTTCCCGCTCCCCACATGTATGACAAGCGTTTAGTGACCGCTGCTCCAAACCGGTTTTCATACATGTGTGTATGTGAGTACTTCACTTTAACCCACATATTATACACATGCTTGTACGTATGTGTGTGTGTGTGTGTGTGTGAAGTATTCGCTGACAAATTCGAGTGGCTGATCAGTGATTATTAAATTCGTGGCGTTCGCCCAGACACAGACACAGATCCCGAGTCCCAGTCAGCATACCACGCGTCGCTGATAAGCGCATGTGACCTGTTCTTTCGTGTCTTGCCACGCCTTTTGCATAGGCCGTGTCATTTCATAACATTGGCAGACGCACGCGCTGGCTTATCACGACCACCAAATTTCATTAATTAATAAAGTTTTTTGCAATGCACCTTCCAGAAATTTTGACAATATTTTATGGCTTGATTGTAGATTGTGTCTGGGCTGATAGTTCATTTTATCAGATTTGCTCAGGTTTAATCAACTCCAGACAAATAAAGCACTGAGCTCTGATTGTTGTGCGAGCAAATACAGGTATACGAAATTATTAAAGTCAGGCTGACAATTGCGCAGCACACAAAAAAAATAACTAAAAAATACAACAAATAAAACAACAAGCAAAACTAAGCCATAATCTACAGCAGCATATATAATACATGCACATATATATAAGTTGATATATGTATGCATATATACACACATTTCACCACTGTGCAAATGAGTTTTTGGCAACCTATCAAAAAGGCGAAGGCGAACGTCGAGCGTCGGCAACCGACGTCAATTTGACGTCATCAACGATCAGTCCGTGGGTCACGTGCTTACGGCGGAGGGAAGGAAGCTGCCTCAGTTGTTGCCCCGGTCTGGTCTGTTCCAGACTTGAAAGATATTTAATCACACACATAGAGTTACATGCACATATGTATGTATATTTATGCTAATCGGTGGCCCGCTAACTTGTTTAGTTCATAATCATCGTTAGTTGGCAACAAGTTGCAATCAATTTTGAGAGTTTCTGGCCATGACGTAAAAGCAAACAAAATATGCTTTAGTGTATTTGTGTATGTGTCACTTGTATAACGCGACTGCATTATCTTATCAGGCAATTACAAAAGCGAAGGCGTTGCTGCTGTCTGCTGCCTGCTGACTTGACTGCGTACCACTTGTCCAAACACAACAACAACAGCTATTTACACTACGCTACATATTTGTCAACAATCAACGTCTCAGTCGTGGCTAATTGAAATTGGCTTATCGATACACTGAGAGGCATACTTTCAGACCTATTGCGTATGCCTGCCTCATAAATTTCTATATCAGTTCTTAATATTCTTTTTATTTCGCTTTTGCAGTTATATTTTGTAAAGCTACAAAATGCATAGAGCACACACGGCCTTTAGTCTGGCGTTATCGCCCATGGCGCACAAAAACTTTGCCACATGGCTGCTCAGCAGCAACAGCAGTCAAAAGGTAAGCGAATATATTTATATATATTTTATATTATAAACTAATCGCATTCATTATTCAACAGCTGATCAAGGCCACCGCCGCTGCCGCCGTGCGCACCTACAATTCGGCGGCCGCCGAGCCCTTCGCCAATGGCAGCACCGCATCCTATGTGGAGGAGATGTACAATGCCTGGCTGCGTGACCCCAGCTCTGTGCATACCGTAAGTGCGCAGCTAATTGCAAAAACGGGCCAGTTCAATTGCCTTTCAGCGTTAATTTAACGTGTTTGTTGGCCTTAAAAAACAGGTTGAGACGCCTTTTGCTTAAATTGAAAGTAACATTTGTTACTTTGCAACGCCAAATTATTTACGGCCCAGTTTTAAGGGCCTTTCAAAATTTGTAAACACCAAAAATTAGCTGATAATGTTTTAAGTCGTTTTTGGTTCATGTAGGCCAGAAAACTTATTAGTCAAATGGTTTTTAATATTCTTAGAAACTCGTTAACACAAATCAAGTTTAACTCTTTATGGCCAGGTTGTTGAACTCCCTAATGCATACATGTCTGTATATATATTTATATTTTATTTGCAATGTATTTATATATTTGATTATTTTCAGTCCTGGGATGCATACTTTCGCAGCAACTCGTACATGAGCCCGCCCAATTTGGCGCCCGTGCAGGCGAACACGCTGCCGCTGTCGGCTTTCAATTTTGGCGGCGCCGTCAGCGCTGCTCCCGACTCCAAGACCATTGATGATCATCTGGCCGTGCAGGCCATCATTAGAAGCTATCAGGTATGCTTTTGCTGGGTCCATAGCGCAGCGCTTCCCCCTTCTCAAAATAGAGTTGAACAGTTG